TACGTTTTTCCAGTGCTGCAGTTTCTCCTGCCTTGAAGGGGCCGTTATTATACAGCAGTATGGAGCGGAGTAGCACGAGTACTTAAAACAGAGGTAGTTGTAGCCCATGACTTCCAGTTACTTCCATTTCTCCTGTAAATTCCATGCCATTTTTCCAATATGGTATGATACATTTTCCTCGTTTTCTTGCCTGAGGAAGTGGTTAGAGCGGGCGGAGGGTGGGAGAGTTTTTATGCTTTTCTGTCCTTGACTTGTACACCTAGATAATACACAATACTCCTTAATGTAGATAGCCTCGGTGTAGACGTTAGTCTTCTATCTGCCTTTCCTATGTACTCTTGTTTTCTTCACATATTAGCTCAGAAAATTCTTCGCCCCTGATGCCGTAAGTGTTGCTGTTCAGTTTCTGACCCTCTTCCTAAAACAGTCTATAATGTGTGAAGCATTGTCTTCTTATTTTCACCTTACTCCTCTCTTGACTTCCTGTTTGGTGCTGACGTAACTGTCACTGCCACTTGTTACTTTTGCCTCTCTGGACATGACATTACTTGTTATATAATCCCTTAAATCCCCGTGTGTCCAAGTTTCCTTGTTCCTCAGATCTCCATTGGCTTCTGACTATCAACGCTGATGCTCCTGCTCTGTAATCACCCTGTTTGGGGGGTGGGGGAGGGGATCAAGATTCCGCTCCTGGCCCCGCCTCCTACGCCACTATGATCAACATCACTGATGTCTGGCCTCTTGGATGTTGTCATATTAACTCTCGAAGCTGGCAAACTCAGTAGTGTTTGCCACTGTATATTCACTTATATGTACTCGTCTATATGTAGTTGGAGGTCGAATCCTAGCTCCCAGCCCTGTCTCTCAACGTACCGCTTGCCAGTTTCACTCCCTCCTAGTCTCGTTGGCCCTATCCTACCAGTTCTTAAAGCTATGTATGGAGCCTGGCTCCAATACTACTTCGTCGATGTTATTCCACTTCCCGACCGCCCTGAGACAGAAGTACATCCTGATATTCCTGTGGCTCACCTTTGTCTTTAGCTCCCAGCTGTGCCCACAAGTATTTGTTTTACGCTTCTCAAATACCATGTCCCTGTCTACCCCTATTAGTTTCTCTGAGTATTTTGGATATTGTTATCATGTCTCCCCAAATTCTTCTGTCTTCTAGTGTCGTTAAATTAATTTCCGTTAGCCTCTCCTCATAGCTCACACTCCTTGGTTCAGGAACTAGTTTCGTTACCTACTGGAGTGAGAGATGTGAGAGGTAAACCCAGTGAAAAGCAGGAACACAAGAGAACACTGTATCAACATCTGTGGCCCCCAAGGCTGTTGAACTTCTGGCCAGACGTTATCAGAAACACTGCTGGGACAAGTGTAGAAGTCTTCAAGGGGAAACTAGGAATGTATCTCTATCAAGTGCCAGATCAGCCTGGCTGTAATGGATATATGGGCCAGCGGGCCGCCAGACTGGTTGATCAGGCAAACCTGGCCAAGAGATGGGCTACGAGACTAGAGAAACTCATCAAATGTATTTCAGGATTTTGTGAACCTTGTCGAACTTTGTGTTCGTTATAACTGCTTTAGGTTTGAAGACAAGAAGTATAAACAACTGCGTATTCGGGCTAGCCTTGGGCTCACCCCTTAATGCAGCACTTGCCAGTTTATATAAGGAGGGCCTAGAATCCAGACGGATACTCAATAACATCCCTAGGTCAGTTACATGGATGTGGTACGTTGATATTTTGGTCATTGTACCCAAAAAATCTAGACGTACGTGGCATCCTCAACACTCTGGAACCTAGTATTAAATTTACACTAGAGGAGGAGAAAGACAACCAGTTACCTTTTCTCGACGTTCTCCTACTCACTTGTGAAAACAGACTTTCTTTTAAAGTCTACCGTAAACCTACCTACAAAAACGATCTTCTACATTTCTTCTCTCATCATGACACCAGAACTAAAAGAGGGGTAGTTATAGGCTTCTTTCTGAGAACCTACAGAATTTCCAGTGTGCAGTTCCTCGAAGAAGAATGCACATACATCACCCATTCTTTTAGTTCACTACACTTTCCCCTACACTTCATACGTGACCGTAGGGAACGTGCGACACGTATCCTCAAGTCCAACACCAATCAAGTTGTAAAGTAAAAGGACACAAGTGCAACTAATGTGACATTTATTGTGGCAACGTTTCGCTCTCCAGGAGCTTTATCAAGCCATTACAAACAATACATGGACACAGAGGGTATATAAAGGCTCAGAGTGAGGTGAATATTAGTGAGGTACCATTTCGATGTTCACTAGTGGTAAGTAGTAGTAGTAGTAGTAGTGGTAGTGACAAAAGTAATACAATATGGTAGAGCAATTAATTCGTACATGAGAAAAGGATATAAAAGGTATTACTTGGGTAACAATTAAACAAAACAACGGCAGCTTCACCATCTCCGAAGTCTTAGCAAGAATCCTCCTGAAAACAGTAAACCCTGCTATCACATAGTCTCTCCTGTTATACTACACAAAGCACAGAGAGTGAACACTGAAACAAGCTGCCTCATTCCGGTTTATATTTATATGTTACCCAAGTAATAGCTTTTATATCCTTTTCTCATGTACGAATTAATTGCTCTACCATATTGTATTACTTTTGTCACTACCACTACTACTACTACTACTACTACTACTACCACTAGTGAACATCGAAATGGTACCTCACTAGTATTCACCTCACTCTGAGCCTTTATATACCCTCTGTGTCCATGTATTGTTTGTAATGGCTTGATAAAGCTCCTGGAGAGCGAAACGTTGCCACAATAAATGTCACATTAGTTGCATTTGTGTCCTTTTACTTTACATGTTGTCGGTAATTCTACCAACCTTATTACACCAATCAAGTTGAAGAAAGGCCTCCAAGTTACATAGTTTTACCGGTCAGCAACGTTGCTAATAACGTTTCAGAAATGTTTGACAGAAAACTGGCTAAAATCTCTACCAGTTCATCAACTAATAGGAACCTGATACAAAAACCCAAGCATGATTCTGGCACACATGCAGGAATTTACACTATACCATGTGGGGGAAGGGGGTGGGAAAGTATATGTAGGGGAAACAGCCAGATCTCTGGACATTAGGATCACCGAACACAAAAATCTTGCAGAAATGATGACCGTAAAAACGCGTGTGTTCAACATAGGAACGATGTTGGACACCATGAAATTCAGTGAGGCTAAACTAATGGTTAAATACGATGACTTAAGACGGAGAACATGCATAGAAGCTGCCCTAATTGCTGTCAGTAACACTGTAAAGCTAAAGTCCGGTAGTTACAGCATCTCAAAATTGCTGATCAACAGGATATTACCCATTCTGGAAACTGCTGTAACGTGATATCAACAGGTCCCTCTGTAGCCATCCGTCCCACCACCTTAGTTCCACCACCACCACTACTACTACTACCACCACTACCACCTCTATCGACACGACAATTCACCTGACTCCTGCCACTACATATATTCGCGTTTTCTTAGTTTTCTCTGTATTAGGACTGAAGAAACCACTCATGGCGAAACGTTTCCTTTAATAAATGTCCTGATCTGTACATAAGTGTCTTTTTCCACAACTTTCTCCAGTTTTTTTAACATCCTTTCAGAGGTGTGGGTTCCATGTTGGTGCTGCATACTCCAAGACGGGTCTGACGTACGTTGCATGAAGCGCCTGTAATAACTCTTTGTTGAGGTTCCTGAAGGCTACTTTTAGATTTGCCAGACGAATTATTTGGTGGTTGTGAGCCTCTGGGGATATGCTTGGCACAATACTCACCCATGGATATTTTTCTGAATGAGGTTTGCAGCCTCTGTCTCCCGAATTTATCCTGCGGTCTTCTGGCCCCTTCCCTAATCTTTATAACCTTGCATTACCTGGGAATGAATTCAAGCAACTACTTATCTTACCACACCTACAGTGTGTCCAGATCCATATGTAGCTTTTGTGTGTGTGTGTGTACTCAGTTGTGGTTGCAGGGGTCGAGTCATAGCTCCTGGCCCCGCCTCTTCACTGGCCGTTACTAGGTCACTCTCCCTGCACCATGAACTTTATCATACCTCTGCGTAAAGCTATGAATGGATCCTGCATATTTGTGTGTGGGGGGGGGGAGTGAGATAAACAAGTCTCTCCTTGTAGTCTATTTCCTTCACTTTGGGCACCAGTCTCGTTGGATTTCCTCTAGTTGTACATAGATGAAATGTGTTTCATGCCTACGCCACATACCCCTAACATAGGCCTAACACACGTTTTGTATGTCGTAAATGAATCATGTGTTTTAAAGTGGTAAGGGCAATTTATCCTTCAGGCAAATAATGTTTCCTGACACTGATCTTAGTCACATGATGACCCACCAACTGGTCATATGACCGAGGTCTCTTCTTACCCTCGGCTTACATAAGAGCACTGCAGCAGGCCTACTGACCCATGCTAAGCAGGTACACGTTAGTGTTGAAAATGGTATAAAATACTTACAAGTTGAAGATTGGTACATGTGCCACAGTTGGGTATCTTTATTGATGAAACGTTTCGCCTACACAGTAGGCTTCTTCAGCCAATTTCTGATGTAATCAGTCCATCATCTTTATTTCACTACTACTGTTCCCTCTGTATATGACTGAAGAAGCCTACCCCTCAAGGAAGGTTCTGATGTTGGTGAGGGGCTCTTGATTTAGGAATTGGATCGTGCCCAGTTCCCAAATGTAAGCACTGAATACTTCAATCCCCCCCCCAGGCGCTGTATAATCTTCCGGGTTAGCGCTCACCCTTGATTATAATATATAATGAAAAGCCTACTGTATGGCGAACGTTCATCAATAAGACACCAACGTTGCACATGTCTTAGTCTTCAGTACAAGCTCATGGACATCCGTACATATAATAATATATATATGATGTATGTGCTAGTTTTAAAGTTGCTAATTCTGTATGTGTTTTGACGGTTTGTTTTTGCTTGCTTTCAGCGGTGGCAGCGACGATGGTTCGTGCTGTACGACGACGGCGAACTGACGTATTCCGTCGACGACCACGTAAGTGTCGTTCTCACCTCCCATCCCTCCTTGATAGACGCTCATTCTCAGCATTCGTTTCTTGTGTGCTGGAACACGTTCTCACAAATCCAGGCATGAACGATCATTTTGAATGTTCAGTGCTAGTGTGCTAGGGAACGTTCTCCCTCTACTAGTGATGAACGTTCCTTGCCAGTGTACTGGTGAACGTTCTGCCACCACCAGTGATGAATGTTCCTTGCCAGTGTACTGGTGAACGTTCCTTGCCAGTGTACTGGTGAACGTTCTGCCACCACCAGTGATGAACGTTCCTTACCAGTGTACTGGTGAACGTTCTGCCACCACCAGTGATGAACGTTCCTTGCTAGTGTACTTGTGAACGTTCTGCCACCACCAGTGATGAACGTTCCTTGCCAGTGTACTGGTGAACGTTTTGCCACCACCAGTGATGAATGTTCCTTGCCAGTGTACTGGTGAACGTTCTGCCACCACCAGTGATGAACGTTCCTTGCCAGTGTACTGGTGAACGTTCTGCCACCACCAGTGATGAACGTTCCTTGCTAGTGTACTGGTGAACGTTCTGCCACCACCAGTGGTGAACGTTCTGCCACCACCAGTGATGAATGTTCCTTGCCAGTATACTGGTGAACGTTCTGCCACCACCAGTGATGAATGTTCCTTGCCAGTGTACTGGTGAACGTTCTGCCACCACCAGTGATGAACGTTCCTTGCCAGTGTACTGGAGTGAGATTAATAAGTTGAGGAAGCCTAGGGAACAAATGGATTTGGCAGTTAAAAATAGGAGAGGAGAGTTATTAAGTGAATAGTTAAGGTATCGAGAAGATGGAGGGAATATTTTGAGGAATTGTTAAATGTTGATGAAGATAGGGAAGATGTTGATGAAGATAGGGGGAATAACATCTTGTAGGAGTGAGGAAGAGCCAGTTGTGAGTGTGGGTGAAGTTCGTGAGGCAGTGAGGTAAAATGAAAGGGGGTAAGGCAGCTGGGATTGATGGGATAAAGATAGAAATGTTAAAAGCAGGTGGGGGATATAGTTTTGGAGTGGTTGGTGCTATTATTTAATAAATGTATGGAAGAGGGTAAGGTACCAAGGGACTGGCAGAGAGCATGCATAGTTCCTTTGTATAAAGGCAAAGGGGATAAAAGAGAGTGCAAAAATTATAGGGGAATAAGTCTGTTGAGCATACCTGGTAAAGTGTATGGTAGAGTTATTATTAGGAGAATTAAGAGTAAGACGGAGAGTAGGATAGCAGATGAACGAGGAGGCTTCAGGAAAGGTAGTGGGTGTGTAGACCAAGTGTTTACAATGAAACATATAGATGAACAGTATTTAGATAAGGGTAAAGAGGTTTTTGTGGCATTTATGGATTTGGAAAAGGCATATGACAAGGTGGATAGGGAAGCAATGTTGCGGGTGTATGGTGTAGGAGGTAGGTTACTAAAAGCAGGGAAGAGTTTTTATGAGGATAGTGAGGCTCAGGTTGGAGTATGTAGGGAAGAGGGAGATTATTCCCCAGTAAAAGTAGGCCTTAGACAAGGATGTGTGATGTCACCATGGTTGTTCAATATATTTATAGATGGGGTTGTAAGAGAAGTGAATGCGAGGGTCTTGGCAAAAGGTGTGGAGTTAAAAGATAAAGAATTAAACACAAAGTGGGAGTTGTCACAGTTGCTCTTTGTTGATGACACTGTGCTTTTGGGAGATTCTGAAGAGAAGTTGCAGAGGTTGGTGGATGAATTTGGTAGGGTATGTAAGAGAAGAAAATTAAAAGTGAATACATGTATAGGAAAGAGTAAGGTTATGAGGATAAAAATATTAGGTGACGATAGATTGGATATCAAATTGGAGGGAGAGAGTATGGAGGAGGTGGATGTATTCAGATGTTTAGGAATGGACGTGTCAGCAGATGGGTCTATGAAGGATGAGGTGAATCATAGAATTGATAGGGGAAAAGGGTGAGTGGTGCACTTAGGAGTCTGTGGAGACAAAGAACTTTGTCCATGGAGGCAAAGAGGGGAATGTATGAGAGTATAGTTGTACCAGCACTCTTGTATGGGTGTGAACCACGGGTGATAAAAGTTGCAATGAGGAGGAGGCTGGAGGCAGTGGAGATGTCGTGTCTGAGGGAAGTGTGTGGTGTGAATATACAGTGGACCCCTGCATAACGATCACCTCCGAATGCGACCAATTATGTAAGTGTATTTATGTAAGTGCGTTTGTACGTGTATGTTTGGTGGTCTGAAATGGACTAATCTACTTCACAATATTCCTTATGGGAACAAATTCGGTCAGTACTGGCACCTGAACATACTTCTGAAGTGAAAAAATATCGTTAACCGGGGGTCCACTGTAATGCAGAGAATTCGTAGTTTGGAAATTAGGAGAAGGTGTGGGATTACCAAAACTGTTATCCAGAGGGCTGAGAAGGGGTTGTTGAGGTGGTTCGGATATGTAGAGAGAATGGAGCAAAACAGAATGACTTTTGAGAGTGTATAAACCTGTGGTGGAGGGAAGGTGGGGTTGGGGTCGGCCTAGGAAGGATTGGAGGGAGGGGGTAAAGGAGGTTTTGTGTGCGAGGGGCTTGGACTTCCAGCAAGCATGCGTGAGTGCATTTAATAGGAGTGAATAGAGACAAATGGTTTTTAATACTTGATGTGTTGTTGGAGTGTGAGCAAAGTAACATATATGAAGGGATTCAGGGAAACCCGCAGGCCGGACTTGAGTCCTGGAGGTGGGAAGTACAGTGTCGGCACTCTAAAGGGAGGGGTGTTTAATATTGCAGTTTTATTACTGTAGTGTAAAGCACCCTTCTGGCAAGACAGTGATGGAGTGAATGATGATGAAAGTTTTTCTTTTTCAGGCCACTCTGCCTTGGTGGGAAACGGCCGATGTGCTAATAAAAAATAAAAAATGAAGACAATATACGGGGTTCAAGTAGGACCTGTCTGGCTTAGGCCAGCAAGGCTTTTTCATTGTTCATAAAGACAAATACAGCCTCTCCTCACTTAGCGATGTACTCATTTACCGACACCTCGGACTTATAACGGGCTCTCTGACCAGTATTTATACCTAAATAATGTACATATACATTAGAGGTGATTTCCCCTATTCTGTTTATGTATTTCAATATACAGCACACTACTGTATAAACATTTAAAAATATACCAGAAATGTTATAAATGGTGCAAAGGTGATATTAAAACATTATATGCTCCTCACTTAACGATGAATTCGTTTAATGACGTGGTCTTAGGAACGAAACTCTATCATTAAGTGAGGAGAGGCTGTACTTTTTTAGGGTTAAACTTGAGTTTGTGCACAGAGGAAGTTTTGGAATTGAATGAACATTGTACTAGATATTTAAAAGTAATAATGTATGCAGTGAAATAGATTTAACACCAGACTGTGATTGTATGTTTTCTTGCAGCCAGCGACCATCCCACAGGGTGTGATCGACATGAACCGAGTATTGGAGGTGTCACAGGCTGAGGACGTCACTGGCAATCAGTTCAGCCTGGCCATTGCTGCCCCAGAGAGAGTGACCTTCATTAAGGGTACCTGCAGAGAAGAGTCCCGCTGGTGGATGGACGTCCTCTCTGTGTTCCCCCGGACACACAAGGTGGGGCTCATATATTGAATTATTTTTATGTATATTTGTCAGAAAGTGGTCAACATAGGTTTCACACAGCATCTGGGGAATGGGAAGTAATCAGATTTGATCTGAAGAAAGGGAAGGTATTGCAGCTCCAAGTCCTCAGATCAAGAGTCTTTCAACCACACAAGGACCCCAGTGGAAATAATCACTTTTACTTTTTTAGGTTATTCTAGGTAAATTACACTATATATCATAATTGTACTTATGTGTACCTGTGTATATATCTGTGTCTAAATAAACTTACACCTCCCTTCCTCCTGGAAGAGTCATACCTTTCAGTGATGTACAGTACGTGTATATTAAAGCTCTTAGAATTGGGTCATCTCATGTGCTCTTTAATCCCATGATAGCTGTATTAACCTCTTTAATCCCATGATAGCTGTATTAACCTCTTTAATCCCATGATAGCTGTATTAACCTCTTTAATCCCATGATAGCTGTATTAACCTCTTTAATCCCATGATAGCTGTATTAACCTCTTTAATCCCATGATAGCTGTATTAACCTCTTTAATCCCATGATAGCTGTATTAACCTCTTTAATCCCATGATAGCTGTATTAACTAGTGGTACCCCAGTACAAGTAGTGATATTTCACCATAAATTGCTTATATGAACTTTTCATGATTTTAAAATTTTTTTTTTTAAACATTAGTGATTTTTAAAAATAATACTGATCATTAACCTTAACAAGGTATTAAACCTCTTATTCCAGATTGCTGTTTACTCTTTGACCATATATGAAATCTTAACCCATATAGCATCAATTTTAATCCATGTGCTAATCTAAAAAGCTTATTATTTAATCTAGTGTATTAACATTTTATCATGTCTTTATTATCTAACCATGATAGAGTGTATTCAACATCATCCCTGCAGCCCAAGTCCTCTAAATCCAGTGTGTTCTTTTCCATGATAGCTGTATTATCTTAATCCAGTGTTAGTGTATTGCCCGCACAAGATGCGTTTACACACCACACCTGATACTGATACTCTTGAGAAAGCTGTTTAAGTTCTTTTCAAGATCAGCTAGGTAGTTCTGTTTAATCCCCTGATATGTATGAAAGGCTATTTAAATCCATTGGTACTTTACATTTAATCTGATATTATTACCTTTGTACTCATATAGCTGTATTCCTTCTTTATCCATGAGTGTATTACTCTTTTGCATGAGCTTATTAACTTTACATGGAATGATTTAGTGCAGTATGTGGATATTCACTAAGCTTATATGAATTTTCATGTTTAAATTTTTTTCTAAACCTATTCAGTGATGTTGTAATAAAATAGTATATTAAATTGGTCTTTAAATATATTGGCGCATATCACATTGTTGCACTGTGGACAATAAATCAAACCCATACTATTAAATCAGGTATTACAGTTAAAACAGTTTTATTAATCTATGTATAAAATTTACATTTTTACTGTATCTAACCAGAACAGTGTGTTTAACATAGAGCCAAGTCTTATACCAGTTTTGGAGTGAAAATGACATGATCAACACAGACTTTTGGTTTTGCTGGCTGAAAGTGGGTGTATCACCCTTGTGGTGCGTGGTGACTGACTTGGGAATTGTTACAGTTCTGTGGTTAAAAGTGGTGTGTTGTACCCCCATTGTTGGTGAGGGTATTGTAAAGGTTTGTCCCTTTACATTTATTGAGTTTTTTCCTTAGTGTACTCATTGCATCCTTACTTTTCAATGGTGTAATTTGCACTGTCTGGCAAGCCTCTTACTTTCATGGGGAATGATTTGTGCAGATATTGGGACTACTACTTATAGAATTTTCCAGGTTTAGATTCTCTCTCTCTCACCTATGTTCCAAGGAGTGTAGATCTAAAATAGGTATTATTGTTCTTTATATAATGTGGCTGCATTATCTACATTGTTCAAGCACAGGGAAGCAAATAAAATCAGACACCCCTACTTTAAATAGGTATTAATTAGATGTATTTATTTTTCTATTTGAAATTCATTATTCTGTATTCAACAGAATTATCACTTGTATTTTAAACAGTAGTAGCCATATTTTATATTTTTTATGGTATGAAACATGAATATTAGTAATACACAGATTTTGTTTTTACCTGTGTGTGTATGAGTGGGAGATTGTACCCTTGTGGTGCTGTGGTGTATGAGTGGGAGATTGTACCCTTGTGGTGCTGTGGTGTATGAGTGGGAGATTGTACCCTTGTGGTGCTGTGGTGTATGAGTGGGAGATTGTACCCTTGTGGTGCTGTGGTGTATGAGTGGGAGATTGTACCCTTGTGGTGCTGTGGTGTATGAGTGGGAGATTGTACCCTTGTGGTGCTGTGGTGTATGAGTGGGAGATTGTACCCTTGTGGTGCTGTGGTGTATGAGTGGGAGATTGTACCCTTGTGGTGCTGTGGTGTATGAGTGGGAGATTGTACCCTGGTGTATGTGGAGATGTCCTTGTGGTGTATGAGTGGGAGATTGTACCCTTGTGGTGCTGTGGTGTATGAGTGGGAGATTGTACCCTTGTGGTGCTGTGGTGTATGTGTGGGAGATTGTACCCTTGTGGTGCTGTGGTGTATGAGTGGGAGATTGTACCCTTGTGGTGCTGTGGTGTATGAGTGGGAGATTGTACCCTTGTGGTGCTGTGGTGTATGAGTGGGAGATTGTACCCTTGTGGTGCTGTGGTGTATGAGTGGGAGATTGTACCCTTGTGGTGCTGTGGTGTATGAGTGGGAGATTGTACCCTTGTGGTGCTGTGGTGTATGAGTGGGAGATTGTACCCTTGTGGTGCTGTGGTGTATGAGTGGGAGATTGTACCCTTGTGGTGCTGTGGTGTATGAGTGTGGAGATATGTGGGATGAGTGAGTGTACCCTTGTGGTGCTGTGGTGTATGAGTGGGAGATTGTACCCTTGTGGTGCTGTGGTGTATGAGTGGGAGATTGTACCCTTGTGGTGCTGTGGTGTATGAGTGGGAGATTGTACCCTTGTGGTGCATGAGTGGGAGATTGTACCCTTGTGGTGTATGAGTGGGAGATTGTACCCTTGTGGTGCTGTGGTGTATGAGTGGGAGATTGTACCCTTGTGGTGCTGTGGTGTATGAGTGGGAGATTGTGGTGCTGTGGTGTATGAGTGGGAGATTGTACCCTTGTGGTGCTGTGGTGTATGAGTGGGAGATTGTACCCTTGTGGTGCTGTGGTGTATGAGTGGGAGATTGTACCCTTGTGGTGCTGTGGTGTATAAGTGGGAGATTGTACCCTTGTGGTGCTGTGGTGTATGAGTGGGAGATTGTACCCTTGTGGTGCTGTGTGATGAGTGGGAGATTGTACCCTTGTGGTGCTGTGGTGTATGAGTGGGAGATTGTACCCTTGTGGTGCTGTGGTGTATGAGTGGGAGATTGTACCCTTGTGTGCGTGGTGTATGAGTGGGAGATTGTACCCTTGTGGTGCTGTGGTGTATGATGGGAGATTGTACCCTTGTGGTGCTGTGGTGTATGAGTGGGAGATTGTACCCTTGTGGTGCTGTGGTGTATGAGTGGGAGATTGTACCCTTGTGGTGCTGTGGTGTATAGTGGGAGATTGTACCCTTGTGGTGCTGTGGTGTATGAGTGGGAGATTGTACCCTTGTGGTGCTGTGGTGTATATGGGAGATTGTGGTTGTGTAGAGTGGGAGATGTACCCTTGTGGTGCTGTGGTGTATGAGTGGGAGATTGTACCCTTGTGTGATGGGAGATTGTGTGCTGTGGTGTATGAGTGGGAGATTGTACCCTTGTGGTGCTGTGTGTATGAGTGGGAGATTGTACCCTTGTGGTGCTGTGGTGTATGGTGGGAGATTGTACCCTTGTGGTGCTGTGGTGTATGAGTTGGAGATGGTACCCCTGTGGTGCTGTGGTGTATGAGTGGGAGATTGTACCCTTGTGGTGATGTGGTGTATGTGTGGGAGATTGTACCCTTGTGGTGCTGTGGTGTATGAGTGGGAGATTGTACCTTTGGTGCTGTGGTGTATGAGTGGGAGATTGTACCCTTGTGGTGCTGTGGTGTATGACTGGGAGATTGTCCCTGTGCTGTGGTGTATGAGTGGGAGATTGTACCCTTGTGGTGCTGTGGTGTATGAGTGGGAGATTGTACCCTTGTGGTGCTGTGGTGTATGAGTGGGAGATTGTACCCTTGTGGTGCTGTGGTGAACTGCTCATAGAACTTAATGTCATCCATTAGAAAAATGTTTATTCAATGTACTTGCAGTATAGTACATACAGTATTAGAATTTACAGTTCTCACCTTTGATTTCTAATTACATAAGTAATCAATGTTGGGAATTATAATACAGTATATTGTATAATGTTATAAGAGACTTGGTGACTGTGTTACTGAGAAATCACTTTTTTTTTTCCTTCTAGCAACAAGGGCGACACAAACGAAATGCAACTTTCCCAGGCATCAAGTCAACAACGGTACTAAAGCAAAGTATGGTGCTACAGTCTCCATCAGCTACACTTGGTAAGTTGCCTATGTGTTGCTGTGCTGTGCTCTGAACTCCCTTAGTGTCATGGGTCAATCATGTGTATTACATGGCAGTATGTTGAGTGAGTTGCCTGTGACCAGCAACCAGAATTTGTGGTGGTTTGTCTCTCTTGTTTGTATCTTATGACTTGCTCTCCTATACTTTGTATCAAGCTGCTCGTCCCTGCTAGAATACTCTTTGTTGAGGGAGGTATAGTAATTGACCTTTACTGCTTAATTTAATTAATTTTATGGTGCATTCAATAATATTTTAAAAATTATGCTGTAATTTGTGCATTGATTTGCTTGAAAGTTTTATCTCTAAGCTTAGATTACATTAGCTGTGTATATTTTTTATTTGCTAAGGTTTTGCTGCTAGTAGCATTAAAAATAATTAGGCCATTTTAATTTATGAATGAAAACTTTGTTATTAAAAATGAATGTAGAATGATGCTGTGATTGTCAAAATTGCATATTTTGGTTGATTTGCTTGTGACCTTGCCTTCACTCCACCTGCTCAACCCAGCACCCACGACTTTCGAGACTCCGATAGGGCAGCGGGTGCGATTTCACAGTTGTACCACTGACCCTCTAGGCGGGCGACCCCCTTCAGCCCCTGCCATGGATATTGATGAAGATGTTTTTCCTACCAAGGACCTCTCAACCACCAATACATCTATCCCTCCATCCAGCCAGACCCAAACTCCCCTTTACCACTCGACTCCCCTCTCCTCCCTTCCTCCATCAACCAGAATGCTGAGGGACGAACACAAAGAAAATACCCCACCATTTACTGAAGGTAGAGTAATTCTTTAGTGTGGGAGGCTACATGGTTGTGTCTCTGTGGTGCGTCATCTGATGACCTGTAGAAATTTTGTCATTTTCTTTGCTTGCCACTTTATGTAATTATAAAGTATATTTTCTCAGATGAATATTTACAGCATCCTTATTTGAAAGTACTGTATACTTCTTGTAAATGACAAGAGAGAATATATAGATGAAAGAAATATAATGTGTAATAAGTACTTGTACTAATGTACTTACATAACATTATTAAAAACAATGTACTCTACTGTATTCATTATTACAGATTATGCAGATAACCCACCAACTTCAGAATCACCACCTACACAAGATAAGTTGAGTCACAAGTTCAGGACTCGCCGTGCAATCAAACGTGAAGCTCGAGGCCTCACACAGCCTAGGAGTAAGTCAGAGATGTCGGCTTTGTTCCCGGTTAACTCGTCATCTTCCATGCCTGCTCTGAATCGTGGGTCCTCTACTACTGGGAGCACCACCACTTCCCCATACTCCTCAGGGGGCACCACCACTTCTCCATATTCCTCAGGGGGTACCACCACTTCTCCACACTCCTCAGGGGGTACCACCACTTCTCCACACTCCTCAGGGGGTACCACCACTTCTCCACACTCCTCAGGGGGTACCACCACTTCTCCACACTCCTCAAGGGGTACCACCACTTCTCCACACTCCTCAGGGGGTACCACCACTTCTCCACAATCCTCAGGGAGTACCACCACTTCCCCTTACACTACTACTATTACTACTGGAAGCACTGCCACCCCATCCCACTCTCCGTCTAGTTGCACTACCACTTCGTCTTCATATTCTACTCCTGAGGGGTCTCGTTCCATCCTTTCCCCCACTCCACCTCTTGTTGACCCTTTAATGCCCTTGGAAACTCGAGGCATACGCCGTGCAGTTGTTCCTCTAACTTCTTTTTCCTCTGTATCGTCCTTAAATTCGCTGTCTAGTTCTACCACTGGAATGAATTCTTTATTTCCCTCTGGCGGTGGCAGTGGTGAAAGTGGTGGCAGGCCAGCGTCACTTCGAAGCCTGGATCCAGGCGTGCATGTCCCTACTAGACCCCATCCCCGCACAGCGCCAGACAAACCAGGTGTGTGTGAACTAACAGTCACAATTTCCTCTCGTTGTCACCCATTTGTTGGATAGAGATGTTTTTATTCATAGGGAAGTGCTAAACTCATAATGGTCATACAATATTTTTTTTAAGTAATTTATTTACTTGTATAGTAAAAGATAATTAATTTATAAATTCAGTATCTTGTTATTTACCACTGCACATTGGAAGCAAATAGCAGTTTAAATTTTCTTTTTCTCATTGTAACAATACAAGAAAATTCTGAAATGTTATTAAATTTTTCCTTTTCTGAGTCTGAAATAGACTTCCGGGTGTTGTGTTAAAGTCAAGAAGTTACTATTAGCTTATGTCCTCATGACACACTAAGTCAAAAAAGAAGCCAGAGAACAATTAAAAAATGACTTCTCATTAAGTACAGCATTTTATTTTGGACAGGTGAGGAATTTTGTGCCATTACTAACCGTTACATTGCATCTCCTTATATATAAATGTTTGTGTGGTTTTATAACATGTTGCTCGATGCAATGCTGAATGGCCCCCACTGGTTTTGTAATTTAATGAGTATGTAGTAATAATATAAAGTGGAAGCTACCTAAGTTTGTTCTTACTTACGCCATCTCTTGTGTACATCTGTACATAAATTTTAGAATAACATCCCATGCATGTTGTTTTAATATGCATAACTTGTTTGTTTTTAATTGCACATTAAACACATTTATATTATATCTGGATGTTGTCATTCATATACATAACTTTAGTGAAGTAAGCTAACTAATTTTAACATAAAATAATAAAGTAAAAATGTTTCATGTAAGAATGTTGCTTTCCTCAGTATTTATGCAAGTAGATGTAAAATTAATTTTTGCTGCTAAAGTTTTTCTATGTATATATATGAACACCTGTGGTCAAATGTTTTGCATTTACACATTCATGCACGTCATGCTTGAGTGTCTGCTGGAAATTTTTGAGAAGGAAGCAAAGGTATCCGAGGAGAGAGAGAGAGGGAGGGTTGAAGGGATTCCAGGGGAGGCAAAGGGATAAGTAGCTTGTAGCTTGCTATATATCCCTAACACAGACTTGATCCAAGGCAGAGGCAGCAACTGCCACCTCTCTCCCAGTGTACACCCGTGTGCATATGCTGCACTGAAAAATTTTATTTGAATTTTCAACATGCTTTGATACAAAACAATTACCAGTACCATAAGTACTGTATAGAATGAAGCAAAAGTCATAATATCATAGTTGGAACACTTCACAACTAACTCACAGATTGGACTGAAATATCATGTTTATGGGTTAGTTGTGTACCACACACTATTGCCAAATGAGTGGTTAGTAATTGAAGTTAAATCAGGGAAGAACCCACCCAAAGTATATGAAGAATGCAATGCTTTTTCAAACAGTGAGCCATTGCTCCAGGTTGGCCATGGTCTCCTTGTGAGCTGTGAGTAAAGACTGGTGGATCATCAAACATACTTACTGAGAAACACTGAAGTGTATTGAGCTCTTCATAACATTTGCTCAGCTTTAGGACATCACTACATAATATGGTCATTGATATTTCATATTATTACTGTATGTTATATTCTCAAAAAATGCAGGCAAGCCTTTTAATCTCTCATAAAAATCTGTGGATTGAGGTTTTTTTTATCCTATAAAAAGCAAGCAGTGTTTTAAAAATCTTGTCTTTATTTTAACTACTGGTAACTTTTGTGAAAACTAGAAATTAGGTTCATATTTATAAAGTAGATTACAGTAGTGAAAATTAAAGTTCTGCTGAACTTGCCCACACTTTGTGAAGGAATCCTTAGACAGTGTTTCAGTCTCTCTTGGACCATTATCAAGTCACTGTTGTGATTAACCAATGGTCTCTCTAAAGTGTGTTATTTATGAATTGTTCCACCCCCAGTATTGTGATTGTGTTTTTAAAGCTCTTTTAGGATTGTATTAATAAGATAACGGCATGATAAAGCTCCTGGAGAGTGAAACGTTGCCACAATAAGATGTCACGTTAGTTCCACTTATGTTCTTTTACTTTCCTCTTTTAGGATTTTTAGTAGTAAACAAATGTCAATTCAATTAAAGATTAACAGTTGAAGGTATAATTCAATAACATAATTACGTATGTGCAAGCTATCATATTAAACTGGAAACCTTTGATAAAATGTAGACAAATGTCTGATAATTTTATTATTGTGAAATACACTATTGAATGATTTAACATAGCAGGTGAGGTGACAAGACGGCAGCTCCTCACTGACTTGGAGGAGACCAAACGAGAAGAGAAACTCAAAGACATTGCTGACTCCATCACAAGACTCCGAGGAAGTCCAACACTCTCTTACATTAACACTAAGGTTTGTTAGCTACTATAATAAAGATTTGTATGCTAAACTGTGAAAGTTGAGAAAAATTTGTTCATGTATAAGAAAAGGAGCTACTGTAGTCTCGTAAAAAAATTTAACATGTTACTTCAAGTTTTTGTCAATATTTCTTGAAATTCCAAAAAAATGTCAGTACTGTACATAACAGCAGCAGAAATGAAACTGAATGACCACAAGATAGAGACAGACAGATGTTAAACATTTTTTGTTATGGCAGTATGGTTGAACTTTTCTGTCTCATTTCTTAATAGGCCTTATTCTTGAAACATTTCCTTTCAAATTTAGGAAGCCTGGATTGAGACTAAGCCAATGGGACAATGATTCCTGGAACCATTATCAAATACAGTAAGACTAACAGATCTCTGTTACCCTGCTATCATTATACATGTCTTGAAATACAAAAAGCATGATGCTCTGCCTTTCATTTCCTGTTAAAGTACCTTAATATATTCCACCATGGTGCTGTGCAAAGTGGTTACACATTAAGGAAAAGCAGATCTCTGAATGTGGATGTGATAGTTTATCAGACTGTAGTTTGATTAGTTTAATAAAAAACTAATGATTGAAATTTCATCAAAATATAAAGTTTGGCTTTTTTTTTTCATCAAACCGGCCATATCCCACCAAGGCAGGGTTTATCTTTTTAAATTTAGTAATGTATACAAGAGAAAGGGTTAGTAGCCCCTTGCTCCCGGCATTTTAGTCGCCTCTTATGACATGCATAGGTTACAGAGGAAGAATTCTGTTCCACTTTCCCATGGAGAAGTTTGACATTTATGAGTACATAATAAAAAAATAACTATTTTTAATCTGTATAATTTAGGAATTTTTTATGTGGAGTAAAATAATAATGATTTTTTGAGGAATAGTCTGCTGCTTTGAGAATTTTAATATGAAAGTAGATAAAGCAATAGATTGGTTTTTCAGCTTAGAAGTTTTTTTTTTATAGGAAACAGTAATGGAAAAGATGATTGTTTCATACACAGTACTGCAGATTAGCATTTGAGTGTAGGTGTACTTGCCTATATGTACTCACTTACATGAAGGTGCAGGGGTTGAGCCGTAGCACTTTGCCCTGCTTTTAAACTTGCTACTTGCCAGATTCACACACTTTTACCCTCATGGGCCCTGCGATACTTATTAAAGCTATGTATGGAGTCTACCTCTACCACTTCATCAAGGTCATTCCACTTCCTGACTTCCATGAGAATGAATAAATACTTCCTGACATCCTTGTGACTTTTAGCTGTTCCCCCAAGTTACCTGTTTTCTGCCTCTTAAACAGCCTGTTCCTGACTACCCTATCAGTTCCCCTGAGTATTTTGTATACTGTCATCATTTTTACCCTGGTTCTTCTCTCTCCAGTGTCATTAGGTTCATTTCCTCTAGTTTGCCATTGTTGTTCATAGCCCCTAGCTCTGAAACTAGTTTTTTTGTTTTTTTAACAAGTTGGCCGTCTCCCACCGAGGTAAGGTGACCCAAAAAGAAAGAAAATCCCCAAAAAGAAAATACTTTCATCATCATTCAACACTTTCACCTCACTCACACATAATCACTGAAACTAGTCTTGTTGTATATTTCTGCTGTTTCTTAACATGCTTCCTCTGTTGTGGGGTTGCATGCTGGTTCTGCATACCCCAAGATGGGCCTGACATATGGTGTATACAGCACCTTGAGATTCCTGAAGGCCACTGTGTGTAGCTTGTGGTGTTTGTAAGTGTAGATGTGTGTGGCTTGTGGTGTTTGTAAGTGTGGATGTGTGTGACTTATGGTGTTTTTAAGGGTGGATGTGTAGTTTGTGGTGCTTGTAAGTGTGGATGTGTGTGGCTTGTGGTGTTTGTAAATGTGGGTGTGTGGGGCTTGTGGTGTTTGTAAGTGTGGATGCACATAACTTGTGGTGTTAGATATTTGATATGGAAGCTGTTACAAACCTGTTCTTGCTTTCACAGCCAGGAGTAGGGGATGTGAAGCCAACACGAGAGCGTGACACTCAGGAGGAAATGGAAGGCTCGCCAAACCATTCAAAGACACCGTCCCAAGATAAGACTGATTCATCTCACCCAGACCATGTAAGATCCATGTGATGGTTGTCTTCCATTTTTTAAATGACTAGGGCTAAATCACTGTTTCGAAGATTTTTATGATATGAGAAGTTAGGTAATTTTTAGGTAGTGCTCTACTACCTCCCTTATGCAAAAGAGCTATGTCTGTTCTCTTTTATCAGTGGGCAAATGAATGTAATATGATGTTCGTTGGTGACAGATGTCAGTTATGGGAAGAATGAAAAATTCAAGACACACACAGAATACAAAATACATATAGGCAAACTATCTTGTAGAATATAAACTAGTAAAAGATGTAAGAATAAAAATGGCAAATGATATGTCATTGGAGAACACAGTAAAGCAAGTACAGCAAAGGCCAGAAAAATGACAGAATGGATAATGAGAACTTTCAAAATGAGAGAAATAATGCCAGTGATTTTACTCTGCAAATAACAGCTCCATTCAAGGCAGGAGAGATGATGGAGCTGGAATTATCAATCAATCAGTCAATCACTTACACTCACCAAATTGACCATAAACATTGAAATACGTAATAAAACTATTACCTAATGAATCTTAAACTAGTCATAAGTTTGCCTGTGATACTCCAGTATAGGAGCTTCAATAGAAACTATGTATCGTACCAAGAAAAAAACATTCACATTGCTAAATTTATGAACTGTAATGCACTTAGCCTTAATATCAACGTGCTCCATAATCTGTACCAATATAGAGTTTTGAATTAATCTTAGTCTGCTCGAAATTCCTAGTCATGCTAGGTGTGATAGTAGCCCTTTCTGTAATTAGTATTTTATAATATGTAAACTCCTATAATATGTAAACTTCGCATTGTAATCCTTATAGAGAATAAACTTGATTGATTGATTTAAGGCCTCCGGTATTTCACCTTTTTCTCCAAAGAATACTGAGGGCTTGTGCTAATGGTACTTTGCACTTCTTTATAAATAGAGCATTCCATGAATTTGGTCCAGGTGCTGAGTGAGTGGGCATGTTGTCCATTTCTTTTTCAAAATTTATGGGATTTGTACTAATGTCAGTTAGTTGGTCTGTGTGGCCATCTGCTGGAGTGAAAAATATTTCTGCATTTTCTACCTTGCTGTCATTTAGTGGGTTGCTGAACGCCAACTCATACTGCTCTTTTAGGATTTCACTCATTTCCTGCTCATCGTCAGTATTTGAATCTCCTCTCAATTTTTTTTTTTTTTTTAACAAGTCGGCTGTCACCCACCAAGGCAGGGTGACCCAAAAAGAAAATACTTTCATCATCATTCAACACTTTCACCTCACCTACACATAATCACTGTTTTTGCAGAGTTGCTCAGAATACAAGCATGTTTAGAAGCATGTACGTATGAAGATACACAACATATCCCTCCAAACTGCCAATATCCCAAACCCCTCCTTTAAAGTGCAGGCATTATACTTCCTATTTTCAGGACTCAAGTCTGGCTATATGAAAATAACCAGTTTCCCTGAATCCCTTCACTAAATATTACCCTGCTCACACTCCAACAGCTCGTCAGGTCCCAAATACCATTTCGTCTCCATTCACTCCTATCTAACATGCTCATGCACGCTTGCTGGAAGTCCAAGCCCCTCGCCCACAAAACCCCCTTTACCCCCTCCCTCCAACCTTTTTGAGGACGACCCTACCCTGCCTTCCTTCCCCTACAGATTTATACGCTCTCCATGCCATTCTACTTTGATCCATTCTCTCTGAATGACCAAACCACCTCAGCAACCCCTCTTTAGCTCTCTGACTAATACTTTTATTAACTCCACACCTTCTCCTAATTTCCACACTCCGAATTTTCTGCATAATATTTACACCACACATTGCCCTTAGACAGGACATCTCCACTGCCTCCAACCGCCTCCTCGCTGCAGCATTTACAACCCAAGTTTCACACCCATATAAGAGTGTTGGTACTACTATACTTTCATACATTCATTTCTTTGCCTCCATAGATAACCTTTTTTGTCTCCACATATACCTCAACACACCACTCACCTTTTTTCCTTCATCAATTCTGTGATTAACCTCATCCTTCATAAATCCATCCGCTGACACGTCAGCTCCCAAATGTCTGAAAACATTCACTTCCATACTCCTCCTCCCCAATTTGATATCCAATTTTTTTTTATCTAAATCATTTGATACTCTCATCACCTTACTCTTTTCTATGTTCACTTTCTACCTTTACACACACTCCCAAACTCATCTACTAACCTTTGCAATTTTTCTTTATAATCTCCCATAAGCACAGTATCATCAGCAAAAAGTAACTGTGTCAATTCCCATTTTGTATTTGATTCCCCATAATTTAATCCCACCTCTCTCCCGAACACCCTAGCATTTACTTCTTTTACAACCCCATGTATAAATATATTAAACAACCATGGTGACATTACATATCCCTGTCTAAGACCTACTTTTACCGAGAAGTAGTCTCCCTCTCTTCTACACACCCTAACCTGAGCCTCACTATCCTCATAAAAACTCTTTACAGCATTTAGCAATTTACCACTTATTCTATATACTTGCAACATCTGCCACATTGCTCCCCTATCCTCTCTATCATATGCCTTTTCTGAATCCATAAATGCAATAAAAACTTCCCTACCTTTATCTAAATACTGTTCACATATATGCTTCAATGTAAACACTTTATCTACACATCCCCTACCAACTCTAAAACCTCCTTGTTCATCTGCAATCCTACATTCTGTCTTACCTCTAATTCTTTCAGTAATAACCCTACCGTACACTTTTCCTGGTATACTCAGTAAACTTCTTTCTTTCTTTTGACACACCAGCTGTATCCCACCGAGGTGGGGTGGCCCAAAAGGAAAAACGAAAGTTTCTCCTTTTACATTTAGTAATATATACAGAAGAAGGGGTTACTAGCCCCTTGCTCCTGGCATTTTAGTCACCTCTTACAACATGCATGGCTTATGGAGGAAGAATTCTGTTCCACTTCCCCATGGAAGTAAGAGGAAATAAACAAGAACAAGAACTAGTAAGAAAATAGAAGAAAACCCAGAGGGCTGTGTATATACTATATGCTTGTACATGTATGTGTAGTGTGACCTAAGCGTAAGTAGAAGCAGCAAGACATACCTGAAATCTTCCATGTTTATGAGATGGACAAAAGACACCAGCAATCCTACCATCATGTAAAACTTACAGGATTTCGTTTTACACTCATTTGGCAGGACGGTAGTACCTCCCTTGGCGGTTGCTGTCTACCAACCTACTACCTAGAACTCAGTAAACTTATTCCTCTATAATTTTTACAGTCTCCTTTGTCCCCTTCCCTTTATATAAAGGGACTATACATGCTTTCTGCCAACCCCTAGGTACCTTCCCCTCTTTCATACATCTATTAAACAAAAAGCCAACCACTCCAACACTATATATCCCCCTGCTTTTAATATTTCTTGCAATATCCTGTATGGCCCTTTGTTCCCTTTGTACTTCTTCTGTTAGGTATGACATCCTAAGTTATTGCTCTAATTCAGTGATCTCTCAGCTAAGACTATCTTTCCTCTGTTGCAGCATATTTGTGTTTTTAAGCAATTCATTAACCCATTTTCTTCTTCTGTGTCATCTCCTATGCTCTCTCTCTGTGTGATTTTCTTGGTTTCCTCAGTGGAATGTGCTTCATGCATACTTTGTATGGCACTTTGACAGAAGCGTTCAGAAATCCCAATTCAGATGATCCTCTAAATTGCATAGGTCCCCACCCGTATTTCATAGTGCAGGCACTGCATTATTAAAAGCAGTACAGTATTATGTGAAAGTGGAAATTGGCTTAAAATATAGAAGACTATATTGTTATGAAAATGTAATAAACAGTGAACTGGAAAGTATACAAAGATCCTTCCATTCTTGTATAAATTCAGTCTAGCACCTAAATTATTAGAAATTCCTAAATTATTGGAAATACCCTTGAACTGTGAGAAAGATGTATCATAATTTACACCTGGAGAAATCTAAAGGATTGGTCCCAAATCTACCTGGAGGGTATTAGAGGTATCAACGCCCCCACGGCCCAGTCCATGACTAGGCCTCCCAGTGGATCAGGGCCTGATCAACCATGCTGTTACTGCTGGCTGCATGTAGTCCAATGTACGAACCACAACCCAGCTGATCCAGCATTGACTTTAGGTATCTGTCCAGTTCTCTCTTGAAGACAACCAGGGATCTACCTGGAGGGTATTCCAGGGATTGAGAGCCCTGCAGCCCAGTCCTTGACCAGGCCTCCTGGTGGATCAGGGCTTGATCAACCAGGGTGTTACTGCTGGCCGCACATAGTCCAGCATATGAACCACATCCTGGCTGATGTGGCACCAATTTCAAGTATCTGTCCAGCTCCCTCTAGAAGGCAACCAGGGATCTATTGGTAATTGCCCTTATGCATGGTGGGAGGCTGCTGAACAGTCTTGGGCCCTAGACACTTATTGTGTTTTCTCTAAGTGTACTAATGGCACCCCTACTTTTCAGTGGGGTATTTTGCACTGCCTGCCAAGTCTTTTGCTTTTGTAGGGAGTGATTTCTATGTGAAGATTAGGGATCAGCCCCTCTTAAGATTTTCCAGGTGTAGATTATGATGTATCTCTCTCACCTGTGCTCCAGTGAGTACAAGTCTAAGTGTTTTCAAGCATTCCCAGTAGTTAAGGTGTTTGATGGAATTTGTGTGTGCAGTAAAGATTCTCTGTACATTCTCTAGATCTGCAATTTCACCTGCCGTGAATGGAGATGTTAATGTACAGCAGTATTCCAGCCTAGAGAGAACATGCGATTTAAAAAGGATCATTGGCTTGGCATCTCATTTTGAATGTTCTTATTATTCATCCTATCATTTTCCTCGCAGATGTGATAGTGGCACTGTTGTGATCCTTGAAGGTGAGATCCTCAGACATTACCACTCCCAGGTCCTTCTCATTACTTTTCCACTCTGGAGTGTGATTAGAGTTTGTAGTATACTCAGTTCTATCTATTATTTCCTCCAGTTTTCCATAATGGAGTAGCTGAAATTTGTCTTCACTGAACATCATATTGTTTTCCGTTGCCCATTGGCAAACCTGGAGATTTACCGTGTCCTCAATGGATGACATTCTCATGCAGATCCTAGTATCATCTGCAAAGGATGATACAGTGCTATGGTTGACATAAGAACATAAGAAAGGAGGAATGCTGCAGCAGGCCTGTTGGCCCATACTAGACAGGTCCTTCACAAATCCATCCCACTAATAGAATTATTTGCCCAACCCACCTTCAGTGCTACCCAAGCAATAAGCTTTGATATATCTCTTTACTCATGTGCATGTCCCACTCAAATCCAACACCTCTCACTCAGGTATTTATCCAACCTAACTTTGAAACTACCCAAGTTTTTTTCTTCAATAACCCTACTAGGGAGACTGTTTAACTCATCAACTACCCTATTTTCAAACCAATACTTTCCTATATCCTTTCTAAATCTAAACTTATCTAATTTGAATCCATCATTGTGGGTTCTCTCTTGGAGAGATATCCTCAAAACCTTATTTATATCCCCTTTGTTGATACCCATCTTCCACTTATTCACTTATATCTCTGTCTATGTCTGATATGAGGAACAGTATAGGGGCAAGTACTCTGGCTTGTGGAACAGAGCTTTTCACTGTGGCAGCTTCCAATTTGAACTCTGTTTACCACTACTCTTTGAAATTCTGTTTACCAATATTTGAAATTCTGTTTACCACTACTCTTGAAATTCTCTATAAGAGCAAGAGGCTCAGCAAATGACGAGGAAATGTTTCGCCACACATTGGCTTCATCAGTCCATAAAAAGGAGAATGGTGAAGAACAGGAGGAGAGTGAGGTAATCGTGCAGTGAGTACCCTATGTGACAACTCAATAGGTGTAAAAGGGCCAATACTTTTCAATACATTCCCTTCATACATAAGAGGAATTTTCAACAGAGCTCTACCTCTCTTCGTGAGGAAACTGGATGAAGTTCTTAAGTTCCTGATCAGCCAGATTGTGATGCCAATATTGGACTGCAGGTGGCTAGCAGAAATAGCCTGATTTATCAGACTGTCAATTACAAGTTCTAGTTTGGGACAGGGCCATGTCAGCATTGAGTTTCAAAATAGTCATGAGGTACCATTCTTTTTTTCATTTTCATATACAGTAACCTCATTGATGAAATATACACATTTGCTTTCTACTTGCTAGGTTCGGGGAGATCCAGATGGGTGTGGGTTGGAGCTCTCTCCACCATACACGGCCAACCCTGACCTTCAGCGTGTGGATCTGCCGGCGGAGGATCTCCTTTATATCAAGAAAGGCTGGCTCATGAAGCAGTCTCTGAACCAGGTAACTTGTACTCATTAAATTATTTATAATGGAGAGATATTTAAAATAAGCTTTGACAACCTTTTCTGTAAGGTTTTCTAGGGCACAAGTAATTTTTTTTAATGAAGTTAACCAGTGTTAAATAATCCAAATATATTTTTCACATAAGAAGCATAGTGACTATTTATTTAATGCATGTTACAGTGTTTTGTTGAAGTGGCAAAGTGTGTAGCTGGCAGCTGCTACCATGTGCTGCATCGGGCAATTACAGTATGTACTAATTATTTCAGAACATAACAAATTTTGCCCAGGTTAAATAAACTGTGGTGTGTGTCAAGTATTGTGAATGATTGTAAACCATCATAATGTTCAGTATCAAGCAGCTCTGATCATTTGTATTCTTATGTCAAGTTTTGTCTTAACGTTACAAGCATCTTTGAATTGTTTGTTCGTTTGTTTCATTACAACACCCAGGTCTTTCTATGTTGGGATGAAACTTTACTGGTGTTGAAGTAAACTTTTTAGAAGTAGAAATATTTGGTATATAATATCAAATGTCAGTTTTGATAATCCTTCACTTATATCTACTGATGTTTTAAATAGTGCTGTTGTAAATCATACATGTAGGTATGATCTTGTCATACAGTAAATTAAAATAGGTAAAAATAGCCAGTAAGTATTCAAATCTAATTTTTTAAATTAATTTTTTATACATTTTGTAACTTTGATGTGACCTGATTACTGTACTCTGTTAGTATATGTGAGAGCAGCTTTTATGTACAGTGTATTTGCTTGCACTGATTAATAGCTTCAAAGAATTCAGTATGATTTTCAGCTTAGCAGTTATCTGCTTCTGTGGTTTGGGAACTTTTATTGCAGTCCCAGTATATCAAACACTTTGAATATTGCTGTTTTAAACCTTTTTTCTATGGGAATAAACATACAGAATGTTAGCTTCAATTCTAATTTTTTTTTTTAGGTAAACATGAATTTACATTGTAACTACATCTTAGAAAAAAAAATTTAAATTGTAAAATATAATTTTCAAGATTGGAAATAAATAATTACAGTGGCTATGTTTGGGTTATTGTGGACATATTATCACAAATCTCTTAAAAAGAGGGAAAGTGTGGAAAATTTAGGCTTCCTTACAACCTGATTGAAAATTTCACCATTATTGCCATTCCTGTGTTGAGTATTTGAATAACTATAATTACTGTGAGAACAATTAATGCAGGTTAATACTAATTTATTTTCATTAGAAAATATAAACTTAAGTATTTGCTGTACATCAAACACACAATGAAAAAAATTAAAATATGTGCAATTTAAAGGAATCATTAAAGTAATTGATGGACAAGAAAGGTATTGATCTCTTCTTTTTTTAATAGGACTGGAACAAATATTGGTTTGTGCTGCGAGGGACAGGTCTGATGTTCTATCGTGACCCAAGTGCTGAGGATAATGGAATTCTTGATGGTATTATTGATCTCAGCGTTGCAAAATCCATAGAGGAATGCGAAGTGGCTCGGAACTACGGCTTCACGATTATGGTAAATAGTTCTTCGTAGTAATGTAACTGCAAGTGTGATTATGAGTCTGATGTTACGTTGTTCAGTATTATAGTATTTATACTGTATGCTATAGTGTGTTAGATTGGGGAAACTGGAGATTAACCCTTTAAGGGTTTCGGACGTACTAGTATGGCTTACACACCAGTGTCCATGATGTACTAGTACGCATAAATTCTAGCGCCTTCAAATCTAATGAGAGAAAGCTGGTAGGCCTACATATGAAAGAATGGGTCTATGTGGTCAGTGTGCGCAGTATAAAAAAAAATCCTGCAGCACACAGTGCGTAATGAGAAAAAAAACAACTTTGACCGTGTTTTTGGATTAAAACAGAGACTTTGCACTATATTTTCGTATGGTATTTATTGTTGTATTCTAGTTTTCCTGGTCTCATTGTATAGAATGGAAGACACATTACAGAAATTGAGATGATTTTGACTGGTTTTACAATGAAAAGTACCTTGAAATTGAGCTCAAAGTAGCAGAAATGTTCGATTTTTACCAAAGTTCAAAAGTAAACAAATCATGCTAAGCGTCAAATACACGTCAACTGGTGAGTCTAATATTCCTTCACAAGTGTGCCGATATTATTTATACCATTTCTACACTAATGCAGTAGTCTGCATAACAGTAAATCTTATTTTTTTTGTGAGAATAAAAATTCAAAGTGGAAAGCAAAAAAAAAAATTTAAGAGGGGCCTGGGGACGTGACTAATGAACAGAGGAAATGTTATTTTAGTGCCAGGAATGTCTTTCTTGGACCCTATTTGGAAATTGGCATCTTTTGAAATTTGTGTGAAATTGGCAAAATTGCTAAATTCTGACCACTATATTGGATAGTTGAAATCGGTAAATTGGTGGTTTCTTGTACTCATTAGATAGAAAAAATGGAGTTCTAGCAAAATAGTCATGATTTTTGTCAACTAGTACATTGGAATTGGCTGAAAATAGGGCTCAAAGTGGGCAAAATTGCCGATACGTAAACATCGTTGAGACCGCTAACTTCGTGAGAGCATAATTCCGTAAGTTTTCCATCAAATTTCATACTTTTGGTGTCATTATGATCGGGAAAAGATTCTCTATCTTTTCATAAGATTTTTTTTTTTTTTTTTTTTTTTTTTTTGAAATTGGGGGACCCTGAGAACAAGTCTCTGAGAGGGCCTGTAGACCCTGAAAGGGTTAATCATTTTTATGGCTTGACATGCTGTTGAAGAGTGAGTAAGGTAGCATTTAGGAAGAGATTCAAGAAAACTTATTGGCTAGATCTGAATCCTGGAAATGGAAAGTACAGTGCTTGTACCCTGCAGGAGGGGTGGTGAGGTTGCAGTTTGGAGGGTCTGCTCATTTCTGGCTAGACAGCTATTGAATGATTAGCAGTGATTGTGTTTACTTTTTTGTGTCACGCCATCTCAGTGGGAGGCAGCCTGTATATTAAAAGCAAAAAGAAAATAAATCCTTTTATACTGTATATTGTTTAGAGCAGGTTGCATATACCAAGAGGTGTGTAACTGTGTGTAAGCAAGATGAGAGTTTACCTTAATCCTTATTTAAAGGAGTAGTTGCCAATATGGTTAAAAAAAAAAAAAACTACTGAAAGCATTGAACTTGCAGACAAGTATTTTTACTATAGAGATAACTTTGGATATCTTAAATACTGTATAAAGGTAATATGACTTGAACTACACACATATGCATAAAAAATTCTTGGCATATTTTAAAGTTTTAATTCATCAAAAGAAACTAACATTATTAAATTACTTTTAAACAGTTTATTAAGTAGATTGATGAGACATTTTTGCATCACAGGTTTATAATATAATCTTCACTTGTTTAACAGACTTGGGAAGAGAAAAGATATGTGTTCTCTGCTGTTACATCAGGCATCCGGGGCAATTGGGTACAGGCTTTAAGAAATGCAGCAAATTTAAAGGAATCTAAAGACAGACCACTTACCCTTGGAGAGCAAATTGAAAAAGAGATTGTTGCTAAGAAAGAGAGACATAACTCACAGGGGTAAGTACTAACATTGCTCTAATATACCATAGGTAGTCTACATTCTGACAATGTTTTAATGTAATAAGTACTGTAATATTGGAGGTGCTTTAAAAGGTATGTGATTAAGGTATACTTACAGTGCTAGTCATGGCATTATGCCGGGTGAGCACCCCGGCATAATGCTGTGACGAAAATCAAAGGCCTACCATATAGAGGGGTCTTTTTTCGTCAGTGCATTATGCCAGATAGCAGCCATTAGCATGACGTCATGGCGTCATGTGTCAGAAGTGGGCTACATTAGTCACCGTCAGGTTAAGAAACCGATCCTCTCCAAGCCACAGAAGGAATGTAGGCTGGATTATGCAAAGAAATATCTTCACTGGAATCCTCAGCAGTGGTCTGAAGTACTTTGGAGTGATGAAGCTATCTTCATTTTCACCTGTCAATCTGGGGGACATGTGTACTGGCCCAGAGGTAGTGACCTGCTAGACCCATGCTACACCTGTGGGACCACCAAACGCCCAGACTCGCTCATGGTTTGGGGTTGTTTCAGTGCTCAGAGTGTTGGTGAACTCATTATACTTCCCAAAAACCAGTATATGAACCAATATAATTACCTGGAGTTATTGTGTGGCAATTTACCTGAGGCATTTGACAAGTGTGGGGCTATGGTTTTTATGCAGGACAGAGCACTGTGTCATATCTCCAAATCTAGTTCAGTGGCTTAAGAACTGTGAAGTGAGGTTTTCAGTGACTGGCAAGGCAATTCCCCAGACCTAAACCCTATTGAGAATCTCTTGTCAGTAGTAAAATGAAGTTTACTGGGCAAGGATATCAGTTCCATCCCTCAGCTGGAGGCTCCTCTACATGAGGCATGGAATAATATACCTCCCCAAACCCTCAAGAATTTGTGTGAGTGTCTTCCTCCACGGCTGAAGGACATGATTAAGCGTAAAGGACACAGCATCAAGTATTAAAACCTCAGTAAGTGTAAAAATATATATATTATAGTCTTTCATGGTACTATGTGTTTGTGTTTTGGTACGTGTGTGAGGGAGAGGCGGCATAATGCCATGACTAGCACTGTAGTCTCCCACAACCATTGGCTCGTATCCTAGTTTAGTTTATGAAACAGTTTTATGACTAATTATAAATCTATTTAGCTCCCTTTCCTTGGATCAAACTTCATGGTTTGATTTTTGTAATATAGTTAATTTTTATTGAACTGTTGCTTTTAATTTTGCCATTCTCTTTCTTCCAATATACATTCAACCTGTGCAGACTGGCAGTGCTGCTACTACGGTAATCTCTCAAACTCTTGTGAGGACTGGGAAATATGCCAAGACTAGGAAATATATTGGGTCAAGACTGAGAAATACAATGGGTCAGACTGGGAAATATGCTGGATCAAGACTGGGAAATATGCTTGGTTAAGACTGGGAAATATGCTTGGTCAAGACTGGGAAATATTCTGGGCCAGACTGGGAAATATGCTAGGTCAAACTTGGAAATATGCTATGTCAGGACTGGGAAATATGCTGGATCAGACTGGGAAGTATGCTGGGATAGAGCTGGGAAATACACTGGGTCAGACTGGGAAGTATGCTGGGGCAGGATTGGGAAATATGCTGGGTCAGACTGGGAAGTATGCTGGGTCAGGATTGGGAAATATACTAGGTCAGACTGGGAAGTATGCTAGGTCAGGATTGGGAAATATACTGGGTCAGACTGGGAAGTATGCTGGGTCAGGATTGGGAAATATACTAGGTCAGACTGGGAAGTATGCTGGGTCAGGATTGGGAAATATACTAGGTCAGACTGGGAAGTATGCTGGGTCAGGATTGGGAAATATACTGGGTCAGACTGGGAAGTTTGCTGGGTCAGGATTGGGAAATATGCTGGGTCAGACTGGGAAGTATGCTGGGTCAGGATTGGGGAATATGCTGGGTCAGACTGGGAAGTATGCTGGGTCAGGATTGGGAAATATACTAGGTTAGACTGGGAAGTATGCTGGGTCAGGATTGGGGAATATGCTGGGTCAGACTGGGAAGTATGCTGGGTCAGGATTGGGAAATATACTAGGTCAGACTGGGAAGTATGCTGGGTCAGGATTGGGAAATATACTGGGTCAGACTGGGAAGTATGCTGGGTCAGGATTGGGAAATATGCTGGGTCAGACTGGGAAGTATGCTGGGCCAGGATTGGGAAATATACTAGGTCAGACTGGGAAGTATGCTGGGTCAGGATTGGGAAATATACTGGGTCAGACTGGGAAGTATGCTGCATCAGGATTGGGAAATATACTAGGTCAGACTGGGAAGTATGCTGGGTCAGGATTGGGAAATATACTGGGTCAGACTGGGAAGTATGCTGCATCAGGATTGGGAAATATACTAGGTCAGACTGGGAAGTATGCTGGGTCAGGATTGGGAAATATGCTGGGTCAGGATTGGGAAATATGCTGGGTCAGACTGGGAAGTATGCTGGGCCAGGATTGGAAAATATACTAGGTCAGACTGGGAAGTATGCTGGGTCAGGATTGGGAAATATGCTGGGTCAGGATTGGGAAATATGCTGGGTCAGACTGGGAAGTATGCTGGGTCAGGATTGGGAAATGTGCTGGGTCAGACTGGGAAGTATGCTGGGTCAGGATTGGGAAATGTGCTGGGTCAGGCTGGGAAGTATGCTGGGTCAGACTGGAATACAGCCAGCATTATGAAGAGAAATTTCTGTAAGATGCTTTCAGTACTGTGAATAATATTAGATATGACTAGTGTTTTTAGGTGAGATGATGGATTTAATGCATTCTAGCTTTTTAATTAATTGGTAAGTTAGTTATTAATCTTCCCACAGTTTTTAACTCTATTTTACTAAAAGGTCTTTCCCCTCCTTGTGTAAAAAGAAGCAGAAAAGCAGAACAACCTTTTATTTATATAATATTATGCTTGTTTTGCATATGTGTATTTTTTTTAATACCAGTCAGCATTATACCCTTAACCAGCTCTTCCATTTTTTTTTTTGACCGAGTACCTTGGTTCCCTATGAAAATGAGAAAAAATAGATGATGACTATGATGAAAAGAATTGGGATTTTAGTGAAAATGAATTATTATTATTCTTCTTTCCACAAACCAGCCGTATCCCACCGAGGCGAGGTGGCCCAAAAGGAAAACCGAAAGTTTCTCTTTTTACATTTAGTAATATATAAAGGAGAAGGGGTTACTAGCCTCTTGCTCCTGGCATTTTAGTTGCCTATGAATTATTATTGAAAAAATTAAGAGTAAGACTGAGAATAGGATAGCAGATGAACAAGGAGGCTTTAGGAAAGGTAGGGGGTGTGTGGACCAGGTGTTTACAGTGAAACATATAAGTGAAGAGTATTTAGATGAGGCTAAAGAGGTCTTTGTGGCATTTATGGATTTAGAAAAGGCGTATGACAGGGTGGATAGGGGGGCAATGTGGCAGATGTTGCAGGTGTATGGTGTAGGAGGTAGGTTACTGAAAGCAGTGAAGAGTTTTTACGAGGATAGTGAGGCTCAAGTTAGAGTATGTAGGAAAGAGGGAAATTATTTCCCAGTAAAAGTAGGCCTTAGACAAGGATGTGTGATGTCACCGTGGTTGTTTAATATATTTATAGATGGGGTTGTAAGAGAAGTAAATGTGAGGGTCTTGGCAAAAGGCATGGAGTTAAAAGATAAAGAATCACACATAAAGTGGGAGTTATCACAGTTGCTCTTTGCTGATGACACTGTGCTCCTGGGAGATTCTGAAGAGAAGTTGCAGAGATTGGTGGATGAATTTGGTAGGGTGTGCAAAAGAAGAAAATTAAAAGTGAATACAGGAAAGAGTAAGGTTATGAGGATAACAAAAAGATTAGGTGATGAAAGATTGGATATCAGATTGGAGGGAGAGAGTATGGAGGAGGTGAATGTATTCAGATATTTGAGAGTGGACGTGTCAGCGGATGGGTCTATGAAAGATGAGGTGAATCATAGAATTGATGAGGGGAAAAGGGTGAGTGGTGCACTTAGAAGTCTGTGGAGACAAAGAACTTTGTCCTTGGAGGCAAAGAGGGAAATGTATGAGAGTATAGTTTTACCAACGCTCTTATATGGGTGTGAAGCATGGGTGATGAATGTTGCAGCGAGGAGAAGGCTGGAGGCAGAGGAGATGTCACATCTGTGGGCAATGTGTGGTGTGAATATAATGCAGAGAATTCGTAGTTTGGAAGTTAGGAGGTGGTGCGGGATTACCAAAACTGTTGTCCAGAGGGCTGAGGAAGGGTTGTTGAGGTGGTTCGTACATGTAGAGAGAATGGAGCGAAACAGAGTGACTTCAAGAGTGTATCAGTCTGTAGTGGAAGGAAGGCGGGGTAGGGGTTGGCCTAGGAAAGGTTGGAGGGAGGGGGTAAAGGAGGTTTTGTGTGCGAGGGGCTTGGACTTCCAGCAGGCATGCGTGAGCGTGTTTGATAGGAGTGAATGGAGACAAATGGTTTTTAATACTTGACGTGCTGTTGGAGTGTGAGCAAAGTAACATTTATGAAGGGGTTCAGGGAAACCGGCAGGCCGGACTTGAGTCCTGGAGATGGGAAGTACAGTGCCTGCACTCTGAAGGAGGGGTGTTAATGTTGCAGTTTAAAAACTGTAGTGTAAAGCACCCTTCTGGCAAGACAGTGATGGAGTGAATGGTGGTGAAAGTTTTTCTTTTTCGGGCCACCCTGCCTTGGTGAGAATCGGCCAGTGTGATAATAAAAAAAAATAAATGAATTATTATTATTTATTATATTCATGGTGAAGTGGAAGGCAGTCACAGGTTCAATCAAAGGAAAGGGAGGACAAGTCCAGTTCATCAAGGAACCTTCTTTGAGAAAAGTGAAACAGGAAATCCATAAAAGTTAATAGAAATGTACAGTATATATCACTGTCTTTAAAGAATAAAAAAGCCCAATATCTTGACTTAGGAGACTGAAACTTATGATGACTTTTTGGTCCGCCTTGGACCATTAACTAGTAATGCAGAGGAATGGTAACTAGTTAATGGTTCAAATCAGACTGAAACATCATAAGTTTGCCTCCTAAGTGTGGATTATTTGTGTATTACTCTATAATGAAAAGTATAAAAACTAAAACTTTTGGCACTCTTTAATATTTTCAGCATTTAGCTTTGTAAATTTTGTACCACGTATTAATTAATATAATATTGCAATTTCAGTTCAAATTTTGAGAGCATGGCAGCTGAGCGTGACCAGGGTAGTGATGTGCACAATGAATCCATCTCATCAGCCAACAGCCGATACGCATTTTCATCCGACGATGAATACCGAACTGCCTCAGAAACTTCTACTAGCAGCCACATCCAGACCAACGAGGATTACTTTGAGTGGGGTGAGAAGGAGGGTAAAAGTACCAAAAAACTTCTCAGTGAATCCACTATCTTCCCAAATCCTGGTAGTTCACCCAACACTGCCAGTAGTGATTGCTGCGACAAACTCAGTCTTGATGCCAGCCAGAATCTTCCCAGCTCCCCACCCCTGGCTCGTACTCCTATCTCCAGGGTGAAAGGTGCATGTTTCACCTCTCTCAGCTTGTGCTTTTCACGTACTGTAGTCTTTAAATCATACTTCTCCATTTAACACACACCTAATAGACTTATTTAAATTTTTCATTATCATTGTAGATTAATGATTAGAAAGCATTAAACCCATAAATGCCATATAGTGCCTGGGGAACAGTAAGCAGTCGGATTTGTGCTGAGAAAAGGAAGGGCAGCTCCATGTCTTTGGATCAAGAGCATCAAGGCACTTGCACTTGCAGAGTTAATTTTTTTCTTCAGAATTATACAATCGTTTCCTTTTTCATTTATTTATTTACATTTTATTTAAATAAAACCTACCATACCAGTGCAGTAAATGAAAAAATATTATGCAGTCAAATTTTGTTGACACTAATGTACTGTGTCTTTCCACAAGCTTTTTTGTGATCTGTAATCCTGATTTAGTACTAATTCCATTACCTATGTGCATTTAAATTAATATTGATCCCTATTTATATTCTGTGCTTTCTTTGTTCTCCAGTTGTTTTTACTTTTCTTGTGTAAACAGCCTTGTACTGTACTCACGTACACACTTTGTGAATTCAGCACTCGTTAGTGTTCAACTTTTCCAGTACCTAGTCTTCCAGTCCCGCATGTCACTGTTGCCTGTTTATACTCTCCTGTCTTTTGTGAGTGTAATTTTGAAGCATCCTTCATTTTTAACAGACAGCTGAGAAGTCATGAGCTACGTATTGATTACTGTTAAATTGTAGTGAGTAATAAATAATTATGGTAATGCATAAAGACATAAGACAATTGTTAGTACTAAGAATTTAGAATGTGTGTGTATTAGGTTACCACAGTTTTTAGCCTGTAAGAGGTTACATGCGTCACTAAGGCCTTTTACTCTATAAGTACTATTTTCCCCTAAAACATAAGTTTAAGATTTAAACTAATGTTGGTCAGAAAAAATCTTCCCACTCATGTGATTTGAACACAGTCTGGTATTCCTGAGATTACCAACTTGTCATTTTACCATCCATGTTGATTCATATTCTTATGAGGTTTCCATTGGCTTTATCACTTGCAACATTAGTTCGTAAAGCATTCCAATGATCTAAAACTGTTTGTAGAGAAAAACTTTCAATATATATATATATATATATTTTTTTTTTTTCAGCTTTTCTTACTTAGTTTTTCATATATTATTATTATTATTATAATCAAAAAGAAGCGCTAAGCCACACGGACTATACAGCCGTTTTTCATATAGCATATACAAAAACTTTTCAAAGCATAATCTGTAAACAAAAGTTTTGCAAGATAGCCTATAATGACTCAACCCCTCCAACAGCTTACAAAAAAATCCATCTCATTGATGTCAACAGATTTGACTTGCTTATAGTTGGTTTACTTGATATATGCCAAGACTCCAACTGAGGGAATGATGTGAATCTTATGCACATCATGAATGTCCCATTGTGACTTTAAAGCTAGCACATCTGTTTTTTTTTTTTTTTAACTATATTTTAATCTTGATATATTTAGATGTCATCATATCTTCCCAGGCAAGTTAAAACTGCATCCAGATAATGGAAAGTAAATCTTGAGGGACATGAACCCACAGTGTAAACATAGTAATTAATTTGCATTATACCTGGAAGTACAGTGTTTGCACTCTGAAGGAGGGGTGTTAATGTTGCAGTTTAAAAACTGTAGTGTAAAGCACCCTTCTGGCAAGACAGTGATGGAGTGAATGATGGTGAAAGTTTTTCTTTTTCGGGCCACCCTGCCTTGGTGGGAATCGGCCAGTGTGATAATAAAAAATAATAATAATAATATACCTGGACTCCATAGATTACCCTAGATTACTTACTGAGTTGTTTTAAGTATTAACGCTGCAGGGGCTTGCATGGAACTACAAGTTAGAGATGATCAGACCTGAACTGTACATAAATAAACTTAATATATTATGAATTATGGAATTTAAAAATAATTATCTAGTAAACCAGTCAAGTACAGTACAGCATATACATGGTTTACTCATTATCTTTTTACTCTACAGTTGATTAATTCTTTTGTTATTAATGCTTCATTTGCTGTTTATTTAATTTTTTTTTTTTTATTATCACACTGGCCGATTCCCACCAAGGCAGGGTGGCCCGAAAAAGAAAAACTTTCACCATCATTCGCTCCATCACTGAATTTAGTTACTTAGAGAATAAAAAGGCACAAAATTATGACCGGAACAATACACAACTAACCCACACATAGGAGAAAGAAACGCATGACAATGTTTTAGTCTGTCTTGGACCGTTAACTAGTATGTGGGTGGTTACGGCCCAGACCAGACCAAAACTTTGTCTTAAGTTTCTTTCTCCTCTGTGCAGGTTATTTGTGTATTAAATTCCTTGTTTTGTTTGGCATAGTCCAATGTCACAGTGGTTAGCAGTTATGAAAACCTGATACTGTAGCCAAGTAAAAAAAAATAAAAAAAGCTTATTTTGTTTGAAAGTGTATCTTTTTTATGAATAATTATATGATATACAGTGTACAGCAGATGCAAGGTTTTCAGCCAGTGCGGAAATCGTACAATTTGGATTTCGAGCACTTTTTTTGGCGAAATTTCCTCCGGGTTTCATACAGCCCCTCGGAAATTGTTAGTACCAGATATTTGCACCTGGGCTGCTCATGCATTCGTGACTCACTCTTGGGCATATTAAATGTCTTATTTTAGGTTAATATAGACATTTTCATTAATCCATCTACGATATTTTCTTCAAAATTATGTAAGAAACACTTTACATAGCATATAAAAATGCAATGCTTATATGCTGTGTAATGGTCCAGCATTAGAGAAAACTGTATGAATCTGTGTTGGCCCACTAATCACCCTTAATACATAAGCTTTTGTTTACAATTCTCGGCATGAATTATTCATTACTTCTCCCTTTGTTTATGATGGCATCTAAAGGTAGTTGTTAGAAACGATTAAACCCAGTGAACATGGTATGTCGATGGTAATAATATGGCTGTGGGCCACAGCGTATGTAGCCGGTAGGTATACACCGGGATGTAGTCTGCCTGGGACTACGTGCAAATAAATACTGCTTACCAACAAGAGTCTTCAATAAAGGTATGTAATGTTCATTTATCATTAAAATTAGTCATTTATATTTATTTCTCATTGTTTTCTGTATGTAAAACTATGGTTACAACCTCTCCTCACTTAGCAACGTATTCGTTTACCGACGACTCTGACTTATGATGGACTCTTTGACCAGTATTCATGCCTAAATAATATATGTTAGAGCTGATTTCCACTATTCTGCTTATTACAATATACAGTACACTACTTGTAAACATTTAAGAATAACCAGAAATGCTATAAATAGTGCAAAAGTGACATTAAAACAATATCAAATATGGCTGACACAAACCCACTACCATTATAGTATCCTCCTCACATACCGACAAATTTGTTTACCAACGAGGTCTTAGGAACGGAACTCCATCATTAAGTGAGGAGAGGCTGTATTCTCTATAAAGTGTATTTTTTGTTAATATTTTTGGGTGTCTGAAACGGATTAATTGGATTTACATTATTTCTTGTGGGAAATATTACTTTGATTTTTGGCCATTTCGGATTTTGGCCAACCTTCTGGAACAGATTAATTATGAAAACCGGGGGTCTACTGTACTGAAAACTAAATAAATACATGATGGACATGGACACAGTCAAATTTGTATGCATTTTTTATTATTAATGTAAAAATAATTATGCAAATTTTCCTTTCACTTTGCTGGTATGACAGATCGTGCACGGTCTCGATCAAACTCAAGATCAAGGTCTAGCAAGAGATCAAGATCATCTCCTCCTTCATCACGACGCAGTACACGTGACACCTTCCCAGCCGTTGCTGATGATGATGTAGTGGTAACTTGCTACTCTGAGACTGGATCTCTTCACTCAATCAGTGACTTAGGTGACCAGCAGCAGCAGCAGCAGCAGCCAGAGAAGGTATGTATCATTTAAACCAGGTGTTCTTTACCGGGAACCAAATAATGGGGGTATGGGACTCGATCTCTGAACATCTTTAAAAGAAAATTGTTCTTAGATTAGAATAAACTGTTGCCTGTTCTGTTTCTAGCTATCCGTTTGTAAAGTAAAACCAAGCTGTTGACATCTTTTGAGGTCATACTGGTACCTAATAGGACTGGTGATGATGATGGTAATTTTGACAGTCTGGCAAAGGGAATATGGGGACATATTGGACAATCCATTGGGGGTCTGTAATCATACTCTGTGGCCCTTGTGGGCTTTGTTCTTGCTTTTTTATGAATTAGGATGATGATAATCAAAATTTAAGATTCATAATTGTTTTGGCATCTAAAAAGTTATGGATTGTTTTAAAGACAGTCTATTCAGTCAAGCAAAGAATGGCAGGAGATAATTGTACATGTTTGCAATTGTCTCTTTTATAGATCACATGTCTTGTCAAATCTCATATTGTTGTATTTTGTATACAGACTGTATAGTTTTGTATACAGTCTTATAAGGCTCTTCTTTATACTGCAGTTTTTTCATAAATGCAATTGAAAAAATACATCTAAAATTGAACGCTGCATAGAAAGGCCTTCATTGTATGTATATGGTATTCAATTTTTGATGCAATTTTTCAGTCTCATTTATGTAAAATTTCTATTTATAAGAGAGTTGAGTATATGCCGCAGTACACACACTCATCATTTACTTCTTGTCTGTGTGGGCGCGTTATATTTTTCACCATTCTAAGCTTAATTCTTACTTTCATTGTTGTACATGTAATTAGCTTAGTAACCACATATGTATCAGTGCACTCTTATTGTTACTGAGCCTGGCTTTACAGGAGAGTAGTGCCACAACTTTAATAGGATCTGGTGACGCTTTGCTTGTTGACCTCCTCGAGACTCAAGTGGAGAGCCTCAAGGCCAAACTGGAACAGACACAGGTAAGAGTTATAATGTTGAAGTAGTGTTGGTCAGAGAATGAAACCATCATTGGTGAGTAACTCTGTATCCTCTAGTTTAATACATTTTTTGTTTACTAATTGCATGAAGGAGCAGTTTTTTGAAATGCAAAATTTTGCAATTTGTGTATGCCTCCATGTTGCTAAGATTCTTGTTTTAATAATAGCATTGTAGTAGTATAGGTTGGCCATCACTAATCCAGCATCATTGGGACCTGTAGTGTGCTGAATTAGTGAGTTTGCTGGATTACAGAATGGTTAGGTTAGAATACACTTAATTAACCTATCAACGGAGACTCTTTCTGTTACATCTTCCTCATTTTCATCACTGCTTTCTCCACCACTAGCTTGCTGCTGTGAATATACAACCATCTGCATAATTTCTGAGTCAGTATAATGATTAAATTTGAAATTATGCTACCCAAAATTAGTGCCGGATAACTGATTGCCGGATTACTGATGGCCAACCTGTAGTACTTATTTCATTGATGTCATTAGGCCTGTATACCTTGTACATGTACTTGTAGAAATAAAGATACAGGTCAGCCATCACTAATCTGGCATCATTTTAACTGTAGTGTGCCAGATTAGTGAGTTTGCTGGATTACAGAGTAGTTAGATTAGAATACACTTATATTTTGGCCTTTCTTTGATTAATTTATCCTGCGGCATGTAAACTTTTATTATTTCTTGTTCACTTTTAAAACTGCATTGCTCTAGACCTTTTAGCAGTTCACCTGTCAACTGAATTAACCTATCAATAGAGAGATTCTGCTACATTTTCCTCATTTTCATCATGGCTTTCTCCTCCACTGGCTTGCTGCTATGGATTTACAACATCTGCACAATTTCTGAGTCAGTATAATGATGAAATTTGAGTCAGTATAATGATGAAATTTGAAATTATGCTAGCCAAAATTAGTGACGGATTACTGATGGAACCGGATAACTGATTGCCAGATTAGTGATGGCCAACCTGTAGTGTATGTATATAATGTGTTAGTGACTAGAAGTTCCTGTGTTTATAAAATAAACCTTGTAATTTTTATAGCTTTAATATAAGACTACTCTGTAATGATGTCTTTGTCATTTGCACTAGATATTGTTTGAGTAACTCCTCATAAATTTTAATAATTTTACTTAGGAACAAAATGTTCTCCACAGTTTAATATATGCTTGACTTATGACTAGACTAAACAGATATGTTGACTGGTAGATTTCTGATTCTAAGTGTTCATTATTTCTAGTGGTCCAAGACTTGTCAGCTCCTTTCAGTATTTATATAATTATTAGAATTGAGACAAGTTATAGTTTTGCAAAGTGTTTGGCCTGCAGTTTTTTGCGCCTTAAAAGTATCTCATCAATTTAATGCTATAATCATTGATTTTTGTTTTTATTATTCAGAGTTTGGTGTTAACATTATAGTTGTTCTTATATTCCTGAATTTCTTTATACTTTGAAGTGTCAAAAATTCTTTTGCACTGACCCAAATATTTGTTAATGAATTATGTTTGTGGACACAGATATCGTGAATGTGAGATACTGTAGTTCATTTTCACATATCAAAAACAAACTAATTGTAAAGCATGTTTGTGGCCTTGGGTAAATTTCACAAGTGAAATGAAAAGCAGGAACTGTAAGGGAAGAGTTTAGGCACAAAGATAAAATATGCATAAAGAAGAACTATTTATTTTTACTTTAAAAAAGGAACAATTTGATACAAGATTGGGATTTTTGTATTCTTTTCCATATGCAGATTGTAAGTAGTACAGTTACAAATTATGTAGGAGAATTATGAATTATCAGTACAATGGTTAGTCAGTCATATGTTCATCATTGCAATATATAGCTACAGTAAATGTCAGCTGATGCAAACAAATGTGAGAAGTATAATTTGCAAAGGGATGATAATCAATGAACGCTGTTATATGGTGCATTAATCAGGCTGACTATCTGGAGCTGCACAAGGAGAATTCTGGCCTCAGGATTCGTCTGCGTGGCACCGTAGCCGCCAACACTGCCACTGGCACCCACCATCACCACCTCCAGCAGCTCAGCATATCTGACCTTGACCTGCTCCATCAGGTACTAGGCATTACCAATCTTCAGGAGGGTCAGCAGTGTTAGAAAAGAAATTTTGAAACTTAGCAGAAGACAATAACTAATATGGTATATGCTTTGTATGGTGTGAACAAAAGATCATGGAATTTAAGGATCCAGCCACTGGCTTGTATGATGGACTTCATCTTTCAAGTTTCAAAATTAAGAAGCTTGCTAATGTTTCTGGACTGATATCTCCTTCATCACGTATGGGGCCTAGCATGCAGGATGCAGCACATATGAATAACACTTCTTGATGGTTAAGGGATTTATCATCAGATTACTTTGCAGTGATTCTTTGTCACAGTTTCTCATCCTCGCTAACAAAGCGCTATTTTATAACATATGCAACAAATCAGCTTTTAGTGCTATGTGAATAGTTTGTACTCAAACTGAACCTTTTTCAGTTTAAAAGAAGACACCTTTTCAGGTATAAAAGTACAACTTGTTCACCTAAAAACTGGGATTATTCCATCAGCCATCAGTGGAATGCACCAAGATTCTGTATGTTTGTGTAATACATGATAGTTGGGTTATCTTTCTTTTCTCATTGTGTGGAAACATTATTCATCACAGATGATTGACCCATGGCACAAGTTGCCACATGTTTGGACTTCCAGTTTGTCCTTTTCAGATATTGTCATGTGGGAATAAAGGCACTTTGGCAACACTTACATTATCTTATTAGATGTTTTGTCCACTGGGGTCTTTACTTATCCAATAATTGCACTGGATTGATAAAACTCCCAGTGGGCAAGATGTCTAATAAAATGTCCCGAGTGTTGCATACCTGTCTTAATTCTCACAGTTTGTTGGTGCTGATATACCTAGTAATTGTAGCCAATTATCACTATATTCTTGTGGCACCCTGTATACTTCCAGCACCCTGTTCTGCATGGTATTTGTTAGTTAAGATAGCATGAAAAGTATTTAGTAACATAGATGTGCAGATTGTAATTGAAAAAACTAGTGAAGACTAGTTTTAGCCAGTAATTGTTACAAACATAAAATTTGTTTAACATAAATGGAATCTGCTGCAAACTGAAGGCATAATGCTAACACATGTTAATGAAGGCACAAATGCGGTGAGATTCCTTATTGGTACAATGTTTCACCCACTAGTGGGCCTTTTTTTTTTTTAGGTACATAAGATATATGAGATATAAACAATTTAGTTATCTAGAATGCTAAAATTCCAGTGCATCAAAGTTTAACTTAAACTTTGACACACTTGACTCTTGCACCTTACTTTTTTTGCAACCTGGATGACTAAGCTGACTATATCTTATGTACTGTACTTGAAAAAAAAAACCCATCTGTGGGTGAAACATTGTACTAACACAAGTGTTCACTGCAATTAGTGTCTATTACCAAAAAATTAAATCTTTTTTAATATGCAGTAAATATTATAGATATAATTGGCACATACTCTAAAGTGACAGTCATTCATTATTCAACAGTTTAAGGACCATTACATGACCATTTGTAAGCTGACAAGACATACAAAAGTCTTTTTTTTTCTTGTGACTGTTGAACAATTAGGACAACAGAAAATTCTGGACAGTAATAGACACCTGCTTCATTTTTATTCTGTACTAACAAATGTAACCGAGTGTCTAGCTTCATGTGTCTCTTGGAAGCCATTGACATTATAAAAACAAAATATTTTAAATATTAATTCTGATTAACTACATATATCAAACATTGGCTGTCATATACCAGTGGTCCGTCCCCGGGTGTCCTGCCATCCCTGTATAGCTTTTCTTTTATTTTTATGTCTTTACAACCTCCATTTTTCGATTACTGCAAAGGAGCGTTGATACTGGTGTAGAGTTTTTTATTAACACATTGGCCGTTCCCCACCAAGGTAGGGTGGCCCGAAAAATAAAAACTTTCATCGTCATTATTCACTCCAGTACTGTCTTGCCAGACGCATGCTTACACTACAGTTTATAAAACTGCAACATTAATACCCCTCCTTCAAAGTGCAGGTACTGTTTTTTATTTTGATTTAATGAAATTACTCTCCCTTTCCCTGGATCAAAGCTGATTACCTTCTAATCTCCAGGTGCAAAATCCTTGGAAAGGGTTATTGCTTCCCTATGAATATAATGTACTGTGATATAATTTGCCTCTTCTATCTATTAAGGATTTTCCATCAGCATATTTTGTGAATGCCTTCTGAGGTCCTGTGGCTTCTTTTCAAGGTATTGAATAATGTAAGTCAGTATAGAGGTGACAGATATATCGGAGACACTTGAAGTGGAAATTTTGAGGTGTTCTGGCCCTCAGCCTTGGTAGATGTGGCAAAGTCATCTTAACCCTTTCACTGTTGAGACATCTGCTCACAAACTTGCTCTCAGTGTCAAAGAATTAAAAAAAAAAAAAAAAAATTCTCATGAAATGATAGAGAATCTTTTCCTGATGGCAATGACACCAAAAGTACGAAATTTGATGGAGAACTTACGGATTTATGCTCTTGCAAAGTTAACAATCTCGGCGATATATACACATCAGCGATTTCGCCCACATTGAGCCCTAGTTTCGACCAATTCCACTTGTTCTGTCAATTGAGTACAAGAAACTGCCCATTTACTGATTTCAACTACTCAGTAAAGTGGTCAGAAATTGGCAATTTGGCCAATTTCACACAAATTTCAAAGGATGCCAGTTTCAAAATAGGGTCCAGAATAAACAATGCAGACATTCCTGGCACTAAAATAACATTTTCTCTGTTCATTGGTCATGTCTCCAGGCCCCTCTTATATTACTCTTGCTTTCCATTTTGAATTTTTATACACACAAAAAAATAGAAGATGTACTGTTGTGCAGACTACTTCATTATTGTACTGATTGTGTAAATAATGTCAACCCATTCATGACTGCATATTAGACTGGCCAGTTGGACATGTATTGGAGGGTGATGTCATTTGTTTACTTTTGAACATCGGCAAAAATCGAACATTTCCCCTACTTTGAGCTCAATTTCAAGGTACTTTTCATCGTGAAACTAATCAAAATCATCTCTATTTCTGTAACACGGCCTCTCCTCACTTAGCGACGTACGTACTTGTTTACTGACACCTTGGACTTACGACAGACTTTCTGACCAGTATTCCTACCTAAATAATGTAAATATATTGGAGATGATTTCCTCTATTCTGTAAATTTCAATATATACAGTACACTACTTTATAAACATTTAAAAATATACCAGAAATGTTATAAATGGTGCAAAGGTGATATTAAGACAATATCAAAGATGGTTGACAAAAACTGCCATTATAGTATGCTCCTCACTTAGTGACGAATTTGTTTAACGACGTGGTCTCAGGAACAGAACTCCATCGTTAAGTGAGAAGAGGCTGTATATCTTCCATTCTGTCAAATGAGACCAAGAAAACGTGAATTCTGCCATAAATACCATACGAAAATACACCTCAAAGTTGGTGTTTTAAACCAAAAACACGGTCGGAGTTTTTCTTCTCATTATGCACTGCATGCTGCAGGATTTTTTTATACTGTGCACACTGACCACGCAGACCCATTCTCTCACATGTAGGTCTACCAGCTTTCTCCCGCTAGATTTGAAGCCGCTAGAATTTTGGAGTATTAATACGTCACCAGCACTGGCTTATAAGCCGTACCTCTACGTCACCAACAGTGAAAAGGTTAAGGTGTTCAGTCCCTCAGCCTTGGTAGATATGGCAAGATCATATTAGGTGTTCAATCCCTTAGTAAAAGTGGGGAATTCATTTTAAGGTGTTCTGTCCCTCAGCTTTGGTAGAGGTCTGCTGTGCAGGTGAAATATCTCAGCAATGAAGAAACCTAAACACTGTCCACTGTTCATAACATTGACACTGTTCATAACTGGATATGTTTTTTTTTTTTTTTTCCCCAACAAGTCGGTTGTCTCCCACCAAGGCAGGGTGACCCAAAAAAGAAAGAAAATCCCCAAAAAGAAAATACTTTAATCATCATTCAACACTTTCACCACACTCACACATTATCACTGTTTTTGCAGAGGTGCTCAGAATACAACAGTTTAGAAGCATATACATATAAAGATACACAACATATCCCTCCAAACTGCCAATATCCCAAACCCCTCCTTTAAAGTGCAGGCATTGTACTTCACATTTCCAGGACTCGAGTCCGACTATATGAAAATAACCGGTTTCCCTGAATCCCTTCACTAAATATTACCCTGCTCACACTCCAACAGATCGTCAGGTCCCAAGTACCATTCGTCTCCATTCACTCCTATCTAACACGCTCACGCATGCTTGCTGGAAGTCCAAGCCCCTCGCCCACAAAACCTCCTTTACCCCCTCTCTCTGGATATGTTTATAAAAGAAATATGCTATTAAAAATCAAAACTACCATTATTTGGTGAGAGCCAGAAACAATCATACTAACTATAACCTTAACAAATACATATATTAGTAATTTACTCCTAGTTTCATTAAGAAAGGTGACTTGTTCATTAGAAAATGTAAAGGGATTTAATGATATATTACACTGTATAGTAATAAAATGTGACTTCAGGGATAGTTGAAGAAAAAGTTTTTGTAAATGCTTTTAAACTGTCACAAAAAGGATGTAGGCATTTTAAAACATTGGTAGTAATGACAAAAACAGATAAATGGTGAATTAAGACATTCAAAGTAAGATTTTATTGAAAGTTTCTCTTTCTGTGAGGCTTTGTCAGGTGCATATATTTTATTTGACAAATCCTCATGATGGGCAAAATGTAATGAAAGTTTACTCTGTTTGTGTCTTTGGATTCCCATCTTAAATATTTTCAGAAAATCCTATTTACTTCGAAATTTAAAGTACTAAGCATTGTAGTAGTATTGACATCTTTTTCCTTGCAGTCCTCTTCTAGTAGGTCAAGAGAAAAGCTTGAGCTTGATCTGACAGAGGCTCGTGAGACCATAGCTTCCCTCTTGGCTGAACTAACAAGATTACAGAAAAACCTGGAAGTGTGTGAGGGTGATCTAGACAGGTCAGAGAGAGAGGTTGACAAGCTGAGACATGACAAGGAGGAGATAACTTCGGACACTGACAACTTGAGGCATCGTGTAACCAGTCTTGAGATGCAGGTAAATACAGTGGACATTTGTCACCATGGTTGTTTAATATATTTATAGATGGGGTTGTAAAAGAAGTAAATGCTAGGGTGTTCGGGAGAGGGGTGGGATTAAATTATGGGGAATCAAATTCAAAATGGGAATTGACACAGTTACTTTTTGCTGATGATACTGTGCTTATGGGAGATTCTAAAGAAAAATTGCAAAGGTTAGTGGATGAGTTTGAGGATGTGTGTAAAGGTAGAAAGTTGAAAGTGAACATAGAAAAGAGTAAGGTGATGAGGGTATCAAATGATTTAGATAAAGAAAAATTGGATATCAAATTGGGGAGGAGGAGTATGGAAGAAGTGAATGTTTTCAGATACTTGGGAGTTGACGTGTCGGCGGATGGATTTATGAAGGATGAGGTTAATCATAGAATTGATGAGGGAAAAAAGGTGAGTGGTGCATTGAGGTATATGTGGAGTCAAAAAACGTTATCTATGGAGGCAAAGAAGGGAATGTATGAAAGTATAGTAGTACCAACACTCTTATATGGATGTGAAGCTTGGGTGGTAAATGCAGCAGCGAGGAGACGGTTGGAGGCAGTGGAGATGTCCTGTCTAAGGGCAATGTGTGGTGTAAATATTATGCAGAAAATTCGGAGTGTGGAAATTAGGAGAAGGTGTGGAGTTAATAAAAGCATTAGTCAGAGGGCAGAAGAGGGGTTGTTGAGGTGGTTTGGTCATTTAGAGAGAATGGATCAAAGTAGAATGACATGGAAAGCATATAAATCTATAGGGGAAGGAAAGAGGGGTAGGGGTCGTCCTCGAAAGGGTTGGAAAGAGGGGGTAAAGGAGGTTTTGTGGGCGAGGGGCTTGGACTTCCAGCAAGCGTGCATGAGGTGTTAGATAGGAGTGAATGGAGACGAATGATACTTGGGACCTGACGATCTGTTGGAGTGTGAGCAGGGTAATATTTAGTGAAGGGATTCAGGGAAACGGTTATTTTCTTATAGTCGGACTTGAGTCCTGGAAATGGGAAGTACAATGCCTGCACTTTAAAGGAGGGGTTTGGGATATTGGCAGTTTGGAGGGATATGTTGTGTATCTTTATACGTATATGCTTCTAAACTGTTGTATCCTGAGCACCTCTGCCAAAAGCAGTGATAATGTGTGAGTGTGGTGAAAGTGTTGAATGATGATGAAAGTATTTTCTTTTTGGGGATTTTCTTTCTTTTTTGGGTCACCCTGCCTCGGTGGGAGACGACCAACTTGTTGAAAAAAAAAAAAAAAAAATTGTGATTAACAGGTTACATTCCTGAAAACTGTGCTACCAATGATTTCTGTGACGTATGGAGCCAATTTTTTTACTATCATAATTTTTTGAAAAAATAATACTTTCTATATAATTCTGTTGATGAGGATGCTCTATGAAATACCTAAACTCAGTAAGGTTCAAACTATAAAAAGAAAGAGTACATGTAGCTAAAAAATGGTTACATTAATACCGTACAGCATTTGTTACTTACCTTTCAAGTCAGTTGTGATGCTTAACATCCCGAAGTGAGTGGAAAGGGTGGTTGTGGCCCTACTGAGCTGAGATTGATGATTGTGGTTGATGTTATGTTGAAGGTTGGGGAACTTGGATATTGATACAGCTGCCTCAGTTGATTGTTGCAGTGGAGTGAACAGGTATTCTGTCATACTCCACTGGTTTGTTTTACCCTGTAGTTCTTTATACAACCCACCATACATTCTAACTGGGTAAACTATCCAGAAGTAAATCTCCATTCATTTTTGGGCTGTCCATTCTCCTCACACACATAAAGCTTTTTTTTCTTAACAATAAGGCCATCAAGTGGAATACCTTTCTTTGCTTTTTCACTCTACAGATTTAGTAAACCGAGTTTTATTTAGCTGTAATGACCTATTCCTCACTCTTTTTGCTGTGTCACATTGAGGATTACTCATTGCACAAGCTTGTGTCTTTGTCTCGAATTGCACAAATCACTGATTCTCAAACACCAAATACTTATGCCATCTCCACGATGCATTCATCACCCTTCAGTATCTCAATTGCCTCTTTAATTTTTTTTCGGAATTGGCATAGTTTTACATAATTTATCTTCCTTGCTTCACCAGCATCACCTGCACTTCTTTTGGATCTTTCTTTCTTTCATCACACCGCCGTATCCCACTGAGGCGGGGTAGCCCAAAAGGAAAAACGAAAGTTTCTCCTTTTACATTTAGTAATGTATACAGGAGAAGAGGTTACTAGCCCCTTGCTCCCGGCATTTTAGTCGCCTCTTACAACACGCATGGCTTACGGAGGAAGAATTCTGTTCCACTTCCCCATGGAGATAAGAGGAAATGAACAAGAATAAGAACTAGAAAGAAAATAGAAGAAAACCCAGAGGGGTGTGTATATATGTGCTTGTACATGTAAGTGTAGTGTGACCTAAGTGTAAATAGAAGTAGCAAGACATACCTGAAATCTTGCATGTTCATGAGACAGAAGAAAGGACACCAGCAATCCTACCATCATGTAAAACAATTATAGGCTTTCGTTTTACACTCACTTGGCAGGACGGGTAGTACCTCCCTGGGCGGTTGCTGTCTACCAACCTACTACCTAGTACTTCTTTTGGATGTTATGATAAATATCCAGAGATGAGATAGGGTGATGAAATGGAAAAGTGAGCAATGATATACACTGACCTACATGGGAGGCTGCTTGCTTACTTCTGTTCACCTTCCAGCACTGTTAAAAGAAAGGAGTTGCTCAGTGTGTGGTGATGGGTCTCCTGTCTGCCTGCTGCAAACAGGAGACCACCAATGGAAATGAATTCCTGCACACCCTAATAGAAATTAAAACTTAAATTGAAATTGAAGAAGATTGAAAACATGAGCTATGACTGTGTGACTTTAGGTTTTTTAACTTTAGTGACATTGCAGGGATCTCAAGAAGTGATTGGCTTTCTTAAGATTTTGTTTACTTTTTTTTTTTTTTTTTTTTAACACATTGGTCATTTCCCACTCTTATAGTAAACTTATAATACTGGAAGCTTGAACCAAACTGTAAGCAGTTACAATATTTGTAGCATATTTTTATAATTTGTGTGGTAAATGAATGTACAGTTAGCCCTATATATTTGTGGAGGGAATGGGGTAAGGTCCCCCATGAACCTAGGAACCACAAATAATACAAAATTAAGACTGCCTAACAAATTTTGCTCCAGAGTTGGGTTCATTTTGTTTTTGAGATCCTAATGCTCTAATATCAATCTGATCTGGTTAATAGTACTATTAATAAGAAATAATTGCCAGAATAAGAGAGACTTGGACAATGGGAAGCCATCGAGCCCAAAAAAAAGTTGGATAATCTAATCTATTTCTTGGTTATCCTTCAGTAAATTCATTTGATAATCAAAATCCACAAATGCAGAGCTTATAGTGATGACTGCACTATAATCCCTCACTATGTGCGGGTTTGCTATGTGGGTATTCGCTTATATTCAACTCGCCATTTCTACAGAAATTCCCTGTGTGATATAAATTTGCTCTTATATGGTCAGTGCAGATCACAAAATGTAATGAGAATTCCTAGAATGAATAAATGCAGTGAGATCAAAACTACCAGGAGCAGCAGTCATTGCCCCCATGAATAGTGTCTTGCTAGGAGCACCTCTGGAAAGCAATGCCATTGCCACAATTCTCAGGAAGAAATGGGAAGAGTTAAGGAGAATGGAACAATGAATAGGCAATCTGGACACCCACGATGCCTTGTACCTTCTCACAAAGTGCTTGGGGTCTGCCCAGGTTGACATATTTCCTAAGATGTGCACCTTCATATGATAACCCTATACTGCACGAATATGACAGTATCCTGAGGCAGATTTTTACGAAAGTACTTAACCTTACTCTAGAACACGGGCAGTGGAACCAAGCTACACTGCCAGTCAGACTAGGAGGCATTGGTGTCTGCAAGTCTTCACAGATTGCACTACCTGCTTTTCTGTCCTCATGTATTGCATCCAGAGGGCTTGTAGCAGCTATTCTCCCTGAACATCTTAGGGACAAGATTGGAGTCCAGGACCAAAAGTTCATTGGCGGAGCCATGATCTGGGATAATCTAACGGGCTCTGAAACCAGACCTGCTTCCCCAACAACTACAAACAATCGCACTGGGATGGTCCAGTAGTGGAAAATATAGCCTCAACAATACTTCAGTGTGTCAGGGAAGGATAGAGCCCGCCTCCTGGAAGTGAGAGCCCCTCATGCAGGGGACTTTCTGTTGGCTGTTCCCAACTCCAGCCTTGGCACACGCCTCGACCCACAGACCATCCGCATTGGTGTTGCCACCCCTATTCTCGCCGAACATAGGTGTATTTGTGGCAGTGAAGCAGCAGATTGATTTGGGTACCATGGTCTTGTGTGTCATAAATCCGAGGGAAAGATTGCAAGACATGAGGAGGTTAATAACATTATCAAGAGGAGCCTCACAACAGCCAGATGCCCAGCAGTAAGGGAGCCACCCCAGCTATGCAGATCTGATGGCAGCCAGAAGCGTCCAGATGGTATCACTCTTCAAGCCTGGACAGACGGGAAGCAGGTGGTGTGGGACTATACATGTGTATCTACCTTGGCTGATACCTATCTCCAATACACCAGGGAGGAAGGAGGGGCAGCTGCCAGCTTCAGGGAGTCCCAAAAGTCTAGGAAATATGGAGAACTTGACCATCACTATATGTTTGTTCCCATAGGCTCAGAGACCCTTGGCTCATGGGGAAAGAATGCATCTAAATTCCTTAAGAAGCTGGGAAAAAGACTCATCAGGGTAATTAGGGATCCCAGGGCAGCTAGTTTTCTGTTCCAGCGGCTCAGTGCGTATGTTCAAAGGGGCAATGCCTGTTGTGTTTTTGGCACGCGCCCCAGCTCTGAGGAGCTGGATGAGATTTTCGCCTTATAGTCGGTGATACACACGTAACAACATGTACCGTATATGCCACCTTTATATCAACAATGTATCTC